ATTTACCTAATTTTAAAACTATATATAAGACAGGCCCGATTAGTCAGTACGTGCATCATATGACAATGGTTCAGGTACTGACCTCAAACCTGTCAGAAAATGCCCTCAGGATACCATTGAAATTGGTCCGCACCCTGCGCACCAGGGATGTGCTACGTTTACGCATGGTGGTGTAGAAACAATCCACACGAGCATCCGCGAACATACCCGGCGCATTAGAATAACGAGGTAGACCAAACAGCACCCTGAATGCATTACATAACACGCATTTAATCTGTAGCTTGTACCGCCAAAGATACGAAACGGCAACGTCGCGGCTGCATTCAGCCAATCCGATCGTTTGTCTTATCGTTTGCTGCGCTCTGATTGGCTCATTTAAATCGGATCAACATTTTCCATAACCATCGCAAGGTGGATTTGTATATCGGATCAACTTCGGCCAACGCTAGCAAATAGTCTCGTGAGTACAGATGTTGATCCGGTCGGAGCCACATTAGTTACCAGAGATGCATATTGGATCAACAAAAGGCGCCGGATCAACATGCGTTTTAGGATCAACAAAGTGCTCGCGTGAAGTCGCGTCTGATCAACATTTACCGTAAAGAGATTTATATATATATATATATATATATATATATATATATATATATATATATATAAACATAATAGTTATAGTAGAAGAAAAAAAAATATTTTAATGAAATAATACTTGTTTTTCAGGTTTTGATGCACATATCTACCGCGTATTCAAACTCGCATCTATCCCGGATAGAGGAGAAGTTCTATCCTTGCGAGGCCGACTGCGAACATCTTCAAAATACAATCGACAAACTAACAGACTCGGAGATTGACAAACTATTACCAACGTGAGTAACTATACTTACTTGATTGATTACATGAAACGCGAGTAAATATCATTTCTCATAACTATAGCGTAATGATAGAGTTATTTTATTTTTCGAGAAAGACATTCGGTTAAATAGAGCGTGTAAGGGGAAGGTAGAAATGACTGCGATTCAACCTATATGTCTAAAAATTGTTATATAAAATATTTGCTTGCATTTCGGAACGTCGATGCGTTAGCTCTGGCGAGATGCAATTTTACATGAGCGACCGAAATAGAATGTATATGCACTACAGACGAAGCACACTTTCATCCGCTAAAGTACCATAAGAGAGACACAGAATTAGCAAAAACGTTGGGATGTAAAAAAATACCGCATCCCATCCCAATTTGCCAACGGCATACACGGCGGCAGCCTTGGCTTTGCAACCGCGGTGGGTGTAGAAGGGGGCACCGTAAATTGCTTTGTTTGCCAGAATAAGCGCATACTTATTCATACCCGAGGTGTTCTGGTTTTTAATACTATTATTCTATATTATTATATTTACTAGTCGAAACATGTAGGTTATAAATGCTGCTTCACGCTGATATTCTATGAAATTATAGTCTTCCCCAGTTCGAGCCGGTCCGTTCATGCACCATCAAAAACTGTTGAATGGCTACCACGTACAAAACATGTTCCTTCGTTTTTTCTTTTTACATCTTTGTCTTTTCAGAATACTAGGAGAATGGCCCAACACATACACCTTCACCAAAGCACTGGCGGAGAAAGAGCTCCGGCTTAATTCGGGCAACGTTCCGCTGGGAATTTTTAGGCCAGCAATAGGTATGTCCGGTAGTGCAAATTAATATATTGATTAGATTAATCTTACAAAGATCATACGGGCTTGTTATTAGAATGCAAGTTCCACTACAGGAAATGGGCCTTTTATAGATATTGACGATTATTCGTAATAAAACGTATATATTTTTTATAAAAGAAAGGACGACAAACGATCACACAGTCCGGCTGACGGTAAGTGGGTGCTAAGGCTGGCCCATAGACATCTACATTAATCCTCAATTAAGAATAAAAATGCAGATGCATTGTCACCCATGAGGACTAAGATGGAATGCCTCGTTTCCAGTAAAAAGGGTCTCCGGTTCTCTACACTCACCATGCGAAACACAGCAGCATTAAGCTACTATTTTACGCTGGTATTCTGTGAGAGCGTGGTCCTTCCCCGGTCGAGCCAACCCATTCGTGCTACAAATATACTTATAATATAACTGCAGCATGACTCTACCACGTATAAACATTTTTGCGTCATGTAAAATACTTATACCGATAAGCAGATCATCGAAGGTGCGAGACGACGGGCTCTGCATTCGTCAATTTACTTGCCGAGTGTGACGATTACGGCCAGTACTACCTACATTAGAAGGAGTCCAATGTCCAGCCGTGGGCTAAACTACGCAGTAATTTATAAGGAAGAGAAGGTGACTCCTTATCAGCCTTTAAAAAAGATTAGTGTTATGTATGTTCACTTGTATGTTTGTGTATCGTTACACGAACGTTTTATTGAATGTATTAATTTATGTTTGCAGTGATTTCAACTGCCAAAGAGCCCCTCAAATGTTGGTTGGACAACATGTATGGACCGACCGGCGTAGCTGTGGGGAGTGGTATGTTGGATTTTTTTTAACTTTGTTTCGTAAGCTAAAATCGATTGGCCGGAACTGCTTTATTTAATTAATATCAACGGTAGATCCTGTCTGCGTAACCCGCGTATCTTTCGTCTTGATGTTTACAGAAACAACACGTCTTTCTTTAATCCGGTCATTAGAATATGTCGAAATTTTGACGAGCTGTGACATCGTAATGCTGATCTGTACATATTTACCTAATTCTAACATTTCGTAATTTAAAATATCTGTAATTGCTACTTTAAATATGTAAATTTTACGAATATTATCAAAATTGAAAAAATTCAAAAATCGGGAAGTTATTGTCTTTACCCCGTTTTTCGAAAATTAACTTTTCATCAAATCTTGACGTTTTGAGGTCACAGGAAGCCACCCTGTCTGTATGTAAACTTCTTACAACTTTTGAATGCCTTGACCGATTGAAATGAACTAAGCGCATTTCCAAAGTGTTTTATCAAACTTAGAATTTAAACTAATTCAGACCGGTAGATTTTGAGAAAACTCAAAAAAAAACACCTTTTTTTGTAATGACTTTTAAACGGCTTTACCGATCGATTCCAAAATATAAACCGCTTTTAACCTTGAAAAACCACGTCGATCGCCGCCGGTCCGGTCAAAATCGGTTGATTCGTTCGTGAGATATCGTTAACGAAAATGTTTGATACAATTGATATTTTTAAATTACTCCGATATTTAATATTCAACGTTATAATTTGGTGAAATTTGGAGCGCTTTGCGTTTGAAATTAGCGGGAAGTTCCAGGGATGGCTTGCAGGGCCAACAATTTTTTTTATACCTGTTGTCATAGTTCGTTTTGTTGTACACACTTTATTGGATTAAAGAATAGTTATTATATTTTTTGTTGCTGTAAATGTGTTTACATTGTCTTCAATCTGTTTGTGTGTGTTATTAATAAAATAAAAATAAAATAAGGAAATCACCTTTAATTGATAAGTGAAATTTATTTTTGATGCAGTATCATAAAGCATATTAACACATTTTTAATAATTCGGTTTCTTGTTTAATTCTTACGGTAAAATCTTTTACCAACGATTTTAAATTATCTTTCCGATGAGCTAGATACTTGCTTGAAACTTTAAATATAGCTTAGGGCCGAGTCACAATGCAATATTAACTCGTTTTTTCTGTTTGTTTGCCTGCTTGTCTGTGCTTACAAATTTAGCAATTTTAAACTAACTTCTCAATGTAAAGACTTTAAAACAGACATCGGACTAGATGAAAAACTAAGTATAATGTCTTCTATAATAAAATAATTTCTCCTAACTAGTCCCATCTACTTACGTCAGGTGGGCTGTAAGCTCGTTTTTTTATAAGATAGGGTGACAAACGAGCACACAGTCCACCAGATGGTGTTTGCTGTGACCCATAGACATCTACATCTATCCTCGATTACGAGTCAAAATGCAGATGCGTTGTCACCGCTGAGGACTAAGATGCAATGCCTTGTTTACAGTAAAAAGGGTCTCCGGTTCTTTACACTCACCAAAAGAAACACAGCAGCGTTAAGCATTATTATTTATTAACCCACCAATACGTTCATTAAGATGTTTTTTTTAACTTTTTTTTTATTATGCCTTGTATCTGTCCTGATGCAATAAATCCTCTTCTGTGTGCACTACTACTAATTCAAATATCTTTATACATTAGCATTAGTTTATCTTGACCTGAAGTGACCAAATATATGTTATGTTTATTTTCAAACAATAGTTCTGACAATCCTGAAGTAATGATATAGCTTTTATCTTGAATATCAACTATTGAATTTTCTCGAGTTTTCCTTATTGTGATTGAAATTGTGACGGCCCATTAGATATTATTATTCGGTCCCGGTCGAGCCGACCCATTCATGTTACAACTATACCTACTACTAATATAGTTTCAGTATGGCTCTACAACATGTAACTCGTTTGCGTTCTATTCAATAAAAACGAATAACGTGGGGCGCATGCAAAGTTGAATAGTAAAAAATAGCTGTCGTTGACAAAACTCACACAACAGTACATATTATATTAGCAATGCAGTAATTTTTATAGTGAGGAACTATTTAGGAATCAATTATCTATTACACTCGCCCCAAGTGTGACGCTTTATCTGTGTGAGGTTTACATATCTTATATATATATTGAAGGTGTAAGTTAATTATAAGAACGTCATCATCATAAGTTCATCATAAGTTCTCTGCTGAACATAGGCGACCCCCAAGGCACGCCACAAAACACAGTCCTGAGCCACCTGCATCCATCGACTTCATGCATCTCTTACCAGACTGTCACCATCTAGTGGGAAGCCGCTCTGCAATTGGTTTATAGGCTTATAGATCGCGAGTTTGCCACTCGAGAACCTTTCTTACTTATCGGTTGTCAGTTCTACGAGCTCCCATGGGGAAAATAGTTGCCACGTTTGGTAGGTGGATTGATAACCGTAGTATTTATTTTTCTAGTTGTTATTAGGAATTTTCTGGTTCCTCCCTTACATACAAAATGACGTGTCTCACCTAGTATGAAGAGCACCAACACCGCTATTCTAGGAAAGACACATCATCGACGATATAACGACACGTGTTTTGCCTCTACACGAGGCACCTTTAGGTGATGTAGACTCTACGGCGGCCAGTCAGCCGACCGTCAGGCTGACGAAACACGTGTGGTATTATCGTCGATGGCGTGTCTTTCCTAGAATAGTGGTGTTAGTGCTCTTCAAACTAGGTGAGACACGTCATTTTATTTTATTTTGTTGAGCGGATGGTTGCTAAGTAACTATTAATATCTTTATTATAATGGACTTCCGGAAAGTAACGCCTGATTCTATCAATTATCTCTCTTTTGGACAATCTAGGCTATACAATATAGTATTAGGCTGTAATTAATCAAAGCATGAAGTTTGAGCATGGTCGTGGTTATCATTTACTGATAGTAATTAACAATAAACGTCTTCTGTTCCAGCGACCGGGATGCTACGTACAATGCAGTGCGACGAAAACGTCACAGCCGATCTTGTTCCTGTCGATTTTGTAGTGAATTGTCTGATGGCGTCCGCTCTTAACGTACACAAGGCTTATTCGAGCAGGTAACTCATCTTTTTTTATGAAAGTGTATGCTGTTGGCCCTGCGGCCTTAACGCTTCATCGAAATAGACTCATGAGTAAGGACTCACGAGCTATTGATTGCAACGATACTGCCGGTGGAGGTGGGCGAATTTATTTTTGGTGGCTACTAATAAGTACTATATCACCTTGTAAAGAAATATTTTTCGTTTGGTATCGTATATATATAGGAAAATATATAGTGGAATTTTTCATAAAGTTCCCATGGCTTCCGATAGATGGTGTTATAACCACCCCCTTACAGCAAACGTAAAATATCCAGATCGGCGATAGAAAGCAGCCAGTGTGCTATTATTGCTAAGTTGCATTTACATAACTCAGCGACTAACGATACCAATGTAAGGGTTTTTTAGACACACACAGCTGCAACTAAGTTTGGTTACCTTACAAAAGTGGGGTTGTATTTCACGCCGGGACACCTGTAAAGCGCAATTCCAGTCGTGAATGTAGTATTGCTGCCTGTAAGGACTGGTATTACAAAATTTCACCATACAGCTTTGGAATTACGTAAAGATGAACTAAAAGAACTTTCCTTTCTTAAAGAACTTCTTGTTCTTTAAGAAAGGCGACAACGCTCTCTTGAAGAACTACAGACCGATTTCCCTTCTGAGCCACGTCTACGTGCTGTTTTCGAGAGTCATTACGAATCGTCTCGTACGCAGACTCGACGACTTCCAGCCTCCCGAAGAAGCCGGTTTCCGAAAAGGCTTCAGTACCATAGACCACATACATACCCTGAGGCAGATTGTACAGAAGACCGAAGAGTACAATCTGCTACTTTGTCTGGCATATGTGGACTATGAGAAAGCCTTAGATACCGTCGAAATTTGGGCGGTGCTACAGTCCCTTCAGCGGTGCCAAGTAGACCGTCGGTATATCGAAGTGCTGAAGTATTTGTACAGTAGGGCTACGATGGCTATCCGACTACAGAACCGGAGTTCAAAACCTATCCAACTGCAGAGAGGTATAAGACAGGGTGATGTTATATCCCCGAAACTCTTCACCGCTGCGTTGGAAGACGTTTTCAAGCTACTGGACTGGAAAGGATACTGTATTAACATCAATGGCGAGCACATCACTCACCTTCGATTTACCGACGATATAGTCCTTATGGCAGAATCGCTGGAGGACCTTAGCACTATGCTCAATGACCTCAATGGTGTCTCCCAACGGATAGGTCTTAAGATGAACATGGACAAAACAAAGATCATGTTTAATGTCCATGTCACACCTATGCCGGTAGTTGTTGGGAGCACTATGCTCGAAGTTGTTGACGCGTACGTTTACTTGGGAGAAATAGTCCGACTAGGTAAGTTCAACTTCGACCGAGAGGTCAATCGACGGATTCAACTCGGCTGGGCAGCGTTCGGGAAATTACGACACATCTTCTCGTCAGGTATACCTCAATCTCTGAAAACTAAAGTGCATAACCAGTGCGTGCTGCCAGTGATGACTTACGGATCTGAGACATGGTCCTTCACTGCTGGCCGTATGAGGACGCTCAAGGTCGCTCAACGAGCTATGGAGAGGGCTATGCTCGGAGTTTCACTGCGTGATAGACTCTATATATGTTATCTGTATAATATGTTTGAGGTGTACAATAAAGTATATTCATTCATTTATTAACTGTTATAATTCTACTTTGTTGTTCCAGTTCGCCCCCGCCAGAGCCGCCAATTTTTAATTATGTAAGTTCAGTGGAGAACCCCATAACATGGGGTGATTTTATGAAACTCAACTTGGCGCGAATCGACCAAGAACCGTTTGCAAATGCTGTGTGGTGAGTGGGTCAACCGTATTTGATTTACAAGTTGTAACACCCTAATTCACCCCTTCAGGGGTTCAGTTTGCCAAAATCCTTTCTTAGTATTAACCAGTTATGCAACTATTGTAACAAGTGTATTGTAACTATTGTACAAGTGTATGTAAAAAGTGGGCGAAATAAATGTTTATTATTATTATTATTATTGGGATATCTATATGGTTTTCTCATCTGTTTAGGTTTTATAAATTTATAATTATAAATTAAAATGAAAAGATAAATATACATAAATATCAATGTAATAAAATAAATACACAAAATACATAAATAAATAAAGATCCAACCAGATGGAAGCCCTCGGCAGGGGAGACCAAACGGCCGAGGGTTAGGAGGAAAGGGAAAGAAACTGACGGACGATGCGGGCGGTATTGAGGAGCACTGCTTTCTGCATTTGAGCTCGGAGCGGTCCGTCACGGAGTCCCAGTCGCCTCAGATGACCCGAGAGGCTGACTGGGATTAGCCCATTCGCAGAGACGACTACAGGAATAATTTCGGCCGGCCGACCACCCCACATGTCGGTCACCTCGTGAGCCAGGTCCAGATATTTTGTTCGCTTATCTGTTTCGGCTTTCACGAGGTTCTCGTCATACGGAATGGTAATGGCGACCAAAAATATCCTTGACTGTGCACGGTCCATCAGCACAATATCAGGCTTATTATTATTATTATTATTATTAGTGGGTGTTTACGTCGAGAAAGAATATATGCCAAATTTCATATCTATCGAGCCTTTAGTTTTGGAGATCTCGTGATTAGTGAGTGAGTCTATGGTATTTATAATGTATAATATAACTATTTATTGATTAAGATAATTGATTATTGAGTTTTTCCGTCAAGAAATTCTCAGTAGTTGCCCGGAGTCAGGAAGTTGGCAGTGTCTCACCCCCGTGCCTCGGAAAGCACGTAAAGCCGTTGGTCCTGCGCCTGATCTCTCTCCGGTCGTGTCGGTTTACCGTCCCATCAGATTATGAGAGTGAAGGAATAGAGAGTGCACCTGTGCTTTCGCATACACTTGGGCACTATAATACTGTCCTACGCCGATGTCTAGCCTCCGTTGAGGCAGGCCGCCGTGGTCGAAATTCGGTTCGAAATTCGGTAGGACATTAATATAACAGACTTCTGGTTGGTGGCGTGATGCGTTTCATTTTCACACACACACACGCACGCACGCACGCAGGCACGCACGCACGCACGCATGCACGCACGCACGCATGCACGCACGCACGTACGCACGCATACACGCACGCACGCACTAGGTAATGTTGCCTATATGTTATTACAAAGTAATTTTCTCGTGTTACCCATGTTCAGTCGAAATTTAAAATAAGTGTTCGCTCTTTGACGGCTATAACGGAATGGTGCCAATCAAACGAAATAAAAGTATCATCTATGACGAATGCATACTTCCTAAATGCTTGCCAGAAGTGTTCAGTACTTTAAACAAAAAGCGACCGACAATGGGGAACACTCAGCGTTCAAAACGATTGCCTGTCTTCCTGGACATCACATCGGCCAAGTTTTTAACTATGTAATAATAAAGAAATTTTTATCAAACCTTTCAACCAGGTCAGTGCTAGGTCACACAACAAATAATACGACCATAACATCGTTTATATGGTAGGAATACAAAAAATCCATAAAATCTTTTATAGAATAAGAGTGTCAAGCGAGAAAACTAACCACTTGATGGTAAGTGGATGCTGTGGCCAATAGACATCTACAATTTATCCTCGAATAAGAATCAAAATGCAGTTGCGTCGTCGTTCCTAAGGAGCAGGATGGAATGCCTCTTATCCATTAAAAAAGGTCTTCGGTTCTCTACACTTACCAAACGAAATATAGCAGCATTTAGCTGCTATTTTAGGCTGATTATACTGTGAGAGCATGTTCCTTCTCCGGTCGAACCAACCAATTCGTTCTACAACCATAATATAGCTGCAGCATGGCACTACCACATAAACAAAACATTCAGTAGCTAGTTTAGTCACAGGAATTTAATTTTTTTACCACGGCATGCCGCGGCACGTCATGGCATTCGCGTGTCGCGCGTGAAACGCATAAGTTACTTCAAAAACAAGGTTGAATCTAGCCTATAGCAGCGGCAATCTCATCGACTCAAGCGAGCGCCCAGCACACGAGCGCGTCTTGACTTTTTTGGCATGCGCATGCCCTAAAATGTTAAAAATTTATTAACTAAGAACCACGTAATAAAATAAACTGGTGTGTAGTTTGAAGAGCACCTCCCGCCCTCCCTCATTCTGTACTTTCCCGTCACCACTAATCCCAGCACCACTACACTAGGAAAGACTCGCCACCGTAGATAGGTACTCTTAATACGACACGTGAACACGTGTTTCGCCTCTAAACGAGGCATCCTCAGGTGAAGTAGACTCTGTGATACCTGACCGCCAAGAACCTCTTAATTTTTAATATCTATATAGGATTTCGGAAAAGTAGCGCCTGATTTTATTAATTATTGTTCGGCTTCAAGCAAACAAAAAAAAGAAGAGGAGGAGATAAGAAGCTATACGTGGTAGAGCCACGCTACAGCTATAATTATGGTTGTAGCACAGAATACCAGCGTAAAATAGCAGCTTAATACTACTGTGTTCCTTATGGTGAGTGTAGAGATCCGGAGATCTTTTTTACTGGAAACGAGGCAATCTATTTTAGTCCTCAGGAGTGACAACGCATCTTTTCAACAACGCGTTTTGATTCTTAATCTAGGATAAATGTAGATGTATATGGGCCGCAGCATCCACTTACCATCAGGTGGACTGTGTGCTCGTTTGTCATCGTCATTCTATAAAAAAGCAGCAGAATAACTATTTAATTTTCTTTCGTTATATATTCTTTCGTTATATATTCCAGGTACATTTCGTTAACACTAACGAAGTATGCAATAATGAACCAGATCTATATTTTCTTCCTGCATATCATACCGGCCGCTTTGGTGGACGGGCTCGCCGTTTGCGTCGGAAAGAAACCCAAGTAAGTATTGGAAATATGTTCTCCGGTCGATTCTGGTCACAGCGGCTGCTGTGCACAATTGGTGGTTGTCAAGGTTCTTTTAGGCCTTGAAATTCATCTGGGTTAGGATCACACTCTTACCTATTTTTTGTGCATGACACCAGGACGCCTACAGCTGTCTTTCGATTTGAAGGGTATAGAGAAGCAATATAGTTATAAGCTGTGGGGCATTTCATTATATTCCTCAGGGGGTTATATTCCTCAATGCATCACTGGCCTTCCTTGTTTAAATTTAATTGCAGTTTCCATGGGCTGCAGAAGCCAGTGACTATCGACGTCCATGAGCAACTATAACACCATGGGAGTTGCAGGAGCGTTGCTGGGTATTTAAAAGGAGTAGGCTCTTTTCTTGAAAGTCCCCAATGTACTTACCATCAGGTGGACCGTTAGCATCTTTGTCACTCTTATAATCTATACAAATAAATAAAATTGAATTGTCTGTTTGTAATGTCAAAATAACAGCTTTTTGCTAAATGCATATGAAAGTATATTGGCTACTTATAACAAAAAAATTTGCCTGTCTGTCTGTTCCGCTTAATCTCCAAAACGGCTGGACCGATTTTGACGGCATTCACTGGCAGATAGCTGATGTTGTAAGGAGTAACTTAAGCTGTTTTTGTTTTAGGAAAAGAATTAAAGTTCCGCGCAAAATAAAATTGAAATCCATGAAAATAAGTTTCACGCGGGTGAAGTCGCGGGGGAATAGGTAGTAATGAATTTTATACGTGGTAGAGCCACGCTGCAGCTATATCATGGTTGTAGCATGAATGGGTCGGCTCGACCGGGGTAAGACCACGCTTAATACTGCTGTGTTTGGTGAGTGAAGAGATCTGGAGACCCTTTCTGACTGGAAACGAGGCATTCCATCTTAGTCCTCAGGGGTGACAACGCATCTGCGTTTTGATTCTTAATCGTGGATAAATGTAGATGTCTATGGGGCACAGCATTCACTTACGTGGACTGTATGCTCGTATGTTACCCGTGTTCTATAAAAAAAATAGGTTGAGAAGGAAACAAAAAACGCTACAGATGCGTTCTTCGTTTAAAGTTGGTTGCAGTGTCCATCCGCTTCTGTAACCATTTGCTACCTTATTCCAATAGTTAGACAGTAAGCTCGATTTTCATTTCAATATTATAAAAAAAAGTGTATGATAATTTTATTTTCCTATTGTAAAATTTTATTGAGCAATCTTTGTTTCTCCTTGACAAGAATGCTGAAGGTGTACAGTAAGATACACAAGTTCTCGTCGGTGATCAGCTATTTCTGCACGCGGGAAATCAAGTTCAGTAACCAGCGTACTAGAGAGCTGTGGCAACAGACGTCGGATACGGATAAACAAGTGAGTATTCACATATTTTGCATACGGCTACTTTGACGGCTCCGTGGCGAAGTGGCTTAGTGATAGCAGCGCTAAGGGCCGCGGATTCAAATCCCGCACGGAACAATAACTAGTATAGCCTAAAAGTAATTATTTCACGTCTTGATTGTTGTCCTTGTGAAATTTATCTATGTAAACTACCCACACGATACAGGAGCAAATCTTAGAGCAGAGGTAACGGTTTTTAAAAGAAACACAGCAGCATATAAATGCTGTGTTTCGTATGGTGAGTGTAGAGAATCGGGGACCATTTTTTTTACTGGAAAAGAGGAATTCCATCTTATTCCTTAAGGGTGACAATGCATCTGCGCTTTGATTCTTAATCGAGGATAAGTGTAGATGTCTATGGGCCACAACATCCACTTACCATCAGGTGGGCTGTGTGCTGTTGTCATCCTACTCATAAAAGTTGGGAGGGTAAAAAATATAGATTATCGTCAAGATATGTGCCCGTTTGTCACTCTTATTCTATAAAAAAAGACTAAAACGAATCAAAGTGTATCTATGTAAACCTTTAGTTAGGTAGTTAAATAGGTTTACATTATAAAAATATTTTTTATCTGTGATACGATACGACGGTATCAATGATAAAAATAACCGAAACTGGTCAACTATCACAGAAATATCATGTAAGGTGGGTGGACCATGGAAGGTCATACTTCTTCGAAGACCATTATTAAAATGTCTTAGTTATTGCCATGTGATGATAAATTGCTTTTATACACAAACACCCATCGAACTGAAAATCACAGACGCGGCGGCGAATCTCGCGCTACTCGTACTATTTTGGCAGTACGGTCCCTCGTTTCATTGATTTTGGGAATCGATGACGTTATAATAAGGTGTTGTGTAATGGAACTAACAAAGTATTACTTAAATATTTGTTATTTCGTTTATTTAGTGGATAAATGAAACATAATAAATGTTTATTTAATACTTTGTTTTATTACGTAACATATAAACTACTTCTTTTTATTGTAGATTTAATCGCTATATAAAATTTAAATCATCAAAAATAAATACTCGTAGTATTTATTAAACATTAGTGTTAAATGATTTTTTATAATGGCCTTCTAAGAAGCCTTGTTCCTAGCAAGGCAATTTGGAAGAGTTCAATGAAACTTAAGTTCAATCAATATTGATTAAAGCAATTTTTAAAAAGTGGTTTATATGTTTTTTACGTAATAAAACAAAGTATTACTTAAATATTTGTTAGTTTCATTTATCCAGTAAAAAAAATTATAACTGTTTATTTGTTAGAGTGGCCTTCCATGGTACACCCACCTTAATATAGATAATATGATCGCGTCTTCTTAGATCATCATCATTACTACAGCTAAGTTCGCAGCTGAACATAAACCTCCCCAAGGGAATGCCACAAAGCACGGTGCTAAGCCACCTGCATCCATTGACATCCTGCATCTTACCAGGTCGCCACTCCATTTATATCCATCATGGGGGCCGCCTAACACTTGTATGCCAGTACTATGATGCCACTCAAGAGCCTTTCTTCCCTATTGGTTGTCGGTTTTTCGAGCTATATGGATGTCAGCAAATATTAAAAATATATACTTATGTTTCTAGATCTTTCCATTCAGCATGCGGGAAATAGATTGGCGCGATTATTTCAATGACTACCTGGTCGGCATCAGGCGATACCTGTTCAAAGAAAGTGATGATACACTACCGAGGGCCAGGATTAAATGGAGAAGGTAAAATCCAACAGAAATTCATACAAGTTAATTTATTTACCCGAACGCTCTAGGAAATTAAGCGTTGCTAAGCACTCGCTGTACTTATACAGAATGGGTCCCACATATATGCAATAAATGAAACCATATACTTGTTATCGCCTTTGCTGACGATATACAAAAAATGAACGTAATCGGTCCAGTAATTAGCTCAAAAAGTAGAGTTTTAATTTTAAGCAAATTTGAACACTTATAGAATTGGGTCACTAAGTCAATGATTCAATGAACTTGAATCGTTGAACATTAAAAAGCGACGTTGCCACGCAGTGCAAACTATTGGTATTGCGACATATCGACAGCGGTGTCTTTTATCGGCGTGCCACCCGCGTGCAACGTTGTCACTCTTCCAAGGGGTCAAGGTACGTTGTCTAAACAGAGTGTTCACTTTTACTGAATTTATTTTAATATTTATTTTGTTTGAAAATTTCACTTTTTTATTTTACGGGTTTTAATTTAATATTTAATTTTTCTACACTTCTACGGACTAGTATTACTTGTGGTTTCATTTATTGCATATATGTGGGACCCATTCTGTATATCGCAGTACGCAAGAAAAACCCGGGCTGAAGCTCCTCTGCCACCCAATAAAATTACTAATTGCAATTTTAAGAGTGAATTTATCACGTGTCGGCAATGAAGGAAAACATCGTAAGGAATAACAAATATTAACTAACTTCTTCATTACCCTCTCAGAAATGAGAGGAGGCCGGTGTGCAGCAGTGACGTTTATAGGATGCAACTTGCAGAATACCAAAATAGCAGCTTAATGCTGCTGTGAACCGTGTAATTAATGTAGAGAGCCAGAGACCCTTTTAACTGGTACCAAGGCATTCCGTCTTATTCCCCCAGTGGTGAAAAGCTCTTGATTCTTAAACGACCCTACATCTAACGAAGGAGTCAATGGCTCGCAGCATACCGTCAGTACCAAATAACAAAATATTATATTGCTATTGGGTGCGTTTGGCAGAAAAAAGCGCTAGCAAGCGCTTACATAGTTTTCGGCCAGGACACGATTACTACTTCAGTACCGCTGACACAATCCGCCATTTTGATTATTTAATTTGTTTGTTTTGAAGTAGAGTTTCTAAGTTGTTTTGTGCAATTTTAGTTTTAAGTAATATAATAACGTGAATAAACATATACATATTATTAAAAATTCATGATTGGTAAGTTTTTAATATGAATACTTTACAAACATATATTTAAATTAGGTTAGGTTCCCCGGTTAAAACTAACATCGTGTCCTGGAGGAAAATAGCTACTTACGATTTGACAGCGCTTACCGCTTACGATCGCCATTTTGCTTACAAGCGCTTGCTAGCGCTTTTTTCTGCCAAACGCACCCAATGACTTCTATTTATTCTTATGTTACAGATTATACTATCTTCATCAGATAGTTCGAATAATTTTCTTCACCTTCGCGCTGTACGCCGTGTGGTCCATCTTAGCACTTATTTGCTGACTTTTATAATTTGTAAATGTACACGTAATAATGCTGACGATTAGAATGTGAACAATATGGATTATGGAGGTGATCGGTTTGATTTGGCGGGATTTTGTAAATAAATGCGACAACCACAGATAATTAAGCCTTAGTTTCTAATTGGGCATTGTCAATAATGTAATGACAAATTTACCAAACAGGTGAATATATTATTTACATAAATAAAAATGTATATTTTAGAAATAGGTATGTGATTTGAGGTTTTATAATTATGACGTAATTATTAGTATAATAAAAGGCTCAATGTTCATATAATAACATAATTGGTACCTAAGTGTTTATTTTTACAAATATACACAACCAAAGTAACACAAAAATGTTACCAAATTATTGTAAATAGTCTATTATGTAATTCTGTAGGTAACTTTGGAGTAAAAATCTCTATTGCAATTTAAAAATATATTTTAGGTACTTGACAATAAAGTTTTATTATACATCATACTGACTGTTTTTATTATTCATAAGATCATAAGCGTCCCTTTAAAATATGAGTTGTACTTACTACTGACTCTTTCACTAAATTTTTATGCAGGTTTTTACATAGGATTGCCACCTTTGTTTGAACAAATATACCTAGTATTTTTTCCAATAAGGATTCCAAAATGTAGTACTTTTGAGAATGTCCGGAAAAAAAGCACACATTTATTTTTAATCTTAATGCCTGTATGTACTCATTACAAATGTATTTTTGCATATATATGAGTTATTGCTTTATTTTGGCCATTATTGATCTAACCACTTTACCTTAACGGAAAAAATTATTTGCGTAAAACTTGCTTGTGCCAGACTTCTAATCACAGTTAATATAAAAAAGTGCGACAGTTGAATCATGGATAAAATATAGTATTTTTCGTACTATATTATTTTTCTAAAATATATTGTACAATTGACTGATATATAGTATTATAGTACGGATAGTATGGGTGGCAACCCTATTTTTACACTACTGGTATAAAAAATACTTAGTAATTTTTTTAAAAGAAACTGTAACTGTTCTGTTCATGGTTAACAAGGTGCACAAAATATAATTGAGCCGTAGGTTCTCTGCCGATCCGTCTCTTGTCGCGTAAGATTGCCTTTCTATCGGGACTAAGAGTGTGGAGGAATAGAGTGCACCTGTGCTTGCGCATAGGTATACTTGGGCCTGTCCTGTCCTGCATAAATGGCTAGTCTCCGTGACCATTCCATTGGGATATTCGTTCTGGGGGACATTACATTTCATATACAAGTTAAATAATACACTTAGTTTATTTGGAATGTAATCATTAATTATACTTTTCAAACTTTTCATGTGTGTAAACATAGGCGATAAATGTATCTTTTTTTTAGGTTCCAAATTTTTAACAGGTCAAGTCCGTCATATTTTCTGGCGCGGCGTGATTATACCTGATATTTATTAGAGTAGTCAAATTTTAAACTTAAGTCCAAATATATAAATATTGATATACCATTATTGTAGTTTTTGAAAATACGAGTAAATAACATTTCTACTTTTTAAGGCAAAAATTTTTGCCTACCATCCGACCCTTATGAATGTATGCGTGCGCAGTAAAATTACTGCGTAACCTATTACTAAGTATTTTGAATTTAAAAGATAAAAGGGACAGCATGTTTGAGATTTTTTTAATAATTTTTTTCGCCATTTGCCTATGTTACTTACTCTGAACCTTCTCTGCAAATTTGGCCGGTTATTGCAAAATAAAAATGTATATTATGAGCTCTTTTAAACGGTGTTATGAGACAATATTTTTATCAAAATTCGACTAAGTTTAAGATTTAGGAGAAACATACAAGTCAAAAATATTAGTCTCCTTTTGAGCTTAGCCGTAGTCTGGCAAAATATTAATTTAAAAAGTGATGCATCTTTCTAAGTGTCGAAAGAAGCGATTTAGTAGCTAAGGAGGATTACTAACGCGTATCAAATCACGTGGGACGATGAGAAATTGATTAGTAGAAACAACATAAAAGTCAATTAATTTATTTCATATCTTCTTCGCTTAGTTTAACTTTATTTGTATCTTTTATTATTTCGTCTATTTTGTGCAAGTCCTTAAGAGATACTTCCCCAGTGCCTTTCTCTAGAGGTTTCGGCTGTGACGGATCGGGTTTCCAACCGAGGAAGTTTATTATTTGAAACGTTGCTGGGACACCTCGTGAATTCTTCTCCGGAAAGTCCTGTAATTAAAACACACATTTAACATTCGAAATTCAAATATACATGAGTGGTCAGGAGTGCAAAACTTTCAGTGTGGCCTACATATAAATTATTTCTATTACATCCTGAATACTGTAGAATTGGTAACGGTAATTTTAAGTTCTCATTTAGGAGAGGTAAGAGTTATCACGTGCTCGGCGGCAAAGGGAAACATGATGACTATATTTGTATAAAAATAAACGAGGCCACGTTAGTTTGTCAACTAGACTGCGTAGTGAATTCTCCTTAGCCCCAAAATTCTTAGTTACAAGAGGAGGCATGAACCCAGCTGTGGGACGAATGCACTGTTACTGCATAACGTTCAAATGATGTAGACCATTATACGTGTAGGAATTTTGTAAATAAACATAGCTCGAAGAACCGATAACCGATGGGGAAAAAAGGTTCTCGAGTGGCAACCTCGTACCGGCAGGCGAAGTGTAGGGCGTCCCCCCACTAGATGGAGTGACGACCTGGTAAGACATGCAGGAAGTCGACGGCTGCAGGTGGCCCAGGACCATGCTTTGTGGCATTCCTTGGGGGAGGCCTATGTTCAGCAATGGACTTGTGAAGGGCTGTAATGATGATGATAATGGTGATGATAAAATTTTATGTGTAAATGTCTTTTCAAGTAAAAATAAAATGGAAACAATGAAACAAGTGCGTCAATTATGATAAAAACTTCTAGAAATTCGTTTTAGCGCCTTGGTATATTAGCATCAACGACTCACTTGCTGTTTTAAACTACCGGTAAAATCTGCAAAAATGTGTTGTAACAACATCATCATCATCCTTACAGCCCCCCACAAGTGCATTTCTGAACATAAGTCTTCTTCAAGGAATGCCACAAAACAGTCATGAACCACCTGTATCCACCGAGTTCCTGCATGTCTTACCAGTCCGCCGCGTCATCTTGTTGGGTGCAGCCGTACATTTCGCTTACCAGTAGGTATTAACATATTGTGAAAAAAATTATAAACATACTTATTTCATGTAAACACCATCGGCCTTACTCATAAAAGTTGACGTTAAATGAAGAACTGCTTAAAGTTGCTCTCTCTTCGCTAGATGACAATAGAAAGAGACAGTTATTGAGTTAATTGTCACTTAAGTAAACAATTATTCGTCCGCGTATTTTTGGCTGAAGGCCTAGTATCCAATGCCTTAATAAATTTAAGAAAAATGGGTTACCTTGCCGTACATTTCGTCGTATATGGCCGCGGCTGCGAACTGCACGTCGCGGTCGAGGTGAAGCGGTCGATTCAACGCGGCGTTCGACTCGCCTAGTGTACGAACGTCCCGCATCAAGTGCCACGCGCTCGGGTACCATATTGTTAATGCTTCCACGTCCACCGTTTGAAGTGTAAAGCCCGCTCTGTATAAACATTTTTATTAAAAGAAATAATGAGATATTTATTTGGCCATTCCTTACATAATAGATAAGGGAACTCAATACAGTAACTCAAAACATAATATGTATTATATTATAAGTTAGAATCTTAAATTACCATGAAGAGAAAAAACATTCTTAAACGAAAAATATATTTAAAAAATCAAATACAACCTTTTCAATATTTAATTTAAAAAAATTATATTTACACAAAAAAAAACGAAGAATAAAAAACTTTTTTACGGAATTTTTGGTAATAAAATGTATATAGTCATTTTCCTTATAAGCTTGTTTCAATAGACGTCGTAACTACCGTATAGTGGGGTTGTAAGAATATCCACTAATCATCCCGTGGGTGTCGTAAAGGGCGACTGAGGGAAACAAATCAGGAGATGGGCAGCAGCGTCTACGACTAAAAATAAAAAATACCGTTGCCAAAAGGTTTGCCGAGCGTGGCAACTGTGGCAAATATCTCCCCAGTGAGGCAATCTATGAGGGAGGCCTATGTTCGGCAGTGGACTTTAATAGGCTGTAACGGTTTATCAGCTTATAAGCAGCCCACTATTAGACATCTGCTTCTTTCATTGTAGGAAAGATGATGCATTATTCACTACTCTTGGAAGGTGTTTGGCGTTCGTAGCACCAGTTACCTCGCACCTTGACTCTTCTCTCCGTCGCCGGTCTGGGTATTTTACTATAAGAGATCATACAATCCTTTGTGCCTAGTCGCATTACCAACGCAAACCACCAGCATATGGTTACTATCCTCTTTCCAGGTCAGGAACTCTCAGAAATGCAAGACCTGTCATCCATAGTGGTCCATTATATATATATATATATATATATATATATATATATATATATATATATATATATATATATATATATATATACGGAATACGTGCACGCAATTGAGGGACTACTTAGTTAGCGGAAGGTTGCAAATTAAAATAAATATCTTTATTATAATGGATTTCCGCAAAGTAACGCCTGATTTTATCAATTATCTGAATCATTTGTAACAAATTCCTAGAAATCCCATACAGATCGATAGACACAAAGATTTCTTTCTTTCACAAACATTTCTTATCTTTTGTTTACGTCCACACAGATGACAGATGGTCAGCAAGTGTGAAGACCTTTACCTTTTGTTTATAGATATCAGCTAAGTAGGTAGGAAAGCGTGTACGTTTAGGAGTTAAATTTATGGTTCAGTTACAAAGTGATATTCTGAGTAGCATTTTGAAATGTACCAGTGAATAACTATGTGTGCAAATATTTTCAATAATAAATGAATATAAACAATATACATGTGTATACGTGTCTGGGATCTCGTTCGGATATAAAGACGAAAATAGTGTGGTCCCTTCGTCTTACCCGAAATCCACTGTACTTAGAATATCTATGCTTTATAAAATCCTTAACGAAGATATTCGCAGTAGAATTTGTTAGTGGTTTCGTGCTAGTTTATTTAGGGTTAGATCTGATTATCTAGGCGTCGAGGGAAATAGACATGTCATAATGTATAGAATTAAAGTATCAACGATTTATAGTAAAATCTTTTTTATAGCATTCCAGGTAAAAGAATCAACTTTCAACAAAATCAACGAGAGGTGCTCTTCAATCCAGGTAAGACACATCATTGTATTTAGTTAGCGGAAGGTTGCAAATTAATAAATATCTTTATTATAAAAAATGATTCATTAAAAACGGTCGCTATACCCGAACTCGGCGTTACATCCAAAGTCGCTATAGCCACAGAAATTTTGTACTAAAGTATGCTATCAATTCAAGGGACTCAGATTTAACGCCGCTATAGGTAAATGGTCGCTACAACTAAGGTCGTGATAAAATGAAATCCACTGTATAGCAATCTCCATAGCTCGCTAAGCAACTATAAGCTTCTCGTATATGGCCAGTGAATGGCGGTGTAAGAATATCCACTTCCCTATATCGTCCCGTGAGTGTCGTAAGAGGCGATAGGGAAGTAAAATGGGAGATGGGCACTAGTTTTCCTATTTATAATACTGCGGTTGCTAACCTGCCTTGCAAGCGTGGCAACTATGCCAAATATACTCTCTATGAGGTAATTTATGGAGGAGGCCTTTGCTCAGCAGTGGACTTTTATATGCTGTAGCGGTAACGCTAATGATATCCCTTCAACAGTAAACGCCATTGCGGACATTTAATACTGCCAGGGCCAAAAAAGTTTTATATTTTACTTAATTCGTGTTTTCTTTATTTTACAGGAATAATAACGTGGTTTATGCAAAAAAACTATAATAAAAACGTTTTTCTCACCTAAGTTTATAATAGAATATATGTTATATTATAAACTTAGGTGGATGAGCTTAAAGCGAAGTAATAAACTCGTTTAAATATGAGGGTACCCAATTTTCGTTAAAATAAAAAATAAACAATTATTTCGTAAAAAAAGTGAATGGAAACACACAAAACTACGTGCAAATATTAAAGATAATTTTTGTTTTTCAATACTCTGATGTTTTCAGCAATACTAAACAAGAAAACACTAAATACGAGATAAAATGAACAAGCACTGAATTGGCGCGATTTAATTGACGATCTTGGACTGGCAAATCTTCAAATTCGTCAACGAATTACAGATTAAAAATTATTTGTTATCTAGCTTTGTCTATCAACAAGTCATTCCATAAATATGAACAGGTTACGAAACCGGCAACACAGTGAATTAATAGACAGCCGCAGCGGCTGCTTGGACTGTCTGGTGCGCGCCATCCCGGCCATTTTGACTGTTGAAGGGATACACCACGGAGCAAATATAAAGAGGAGGTGTTATAATTAGATTTCACTATGTAACAACGCGTGACAATTTGCGGGGTGAGGGGGTATTAAGCGCCGCCCACTTAACTATTTTCCATCTACCGGTAAATAGTAAAACTACTCGCATCGTTCCATATCGATGTTGCAATGTAGTTTAGCTACCTTACGCTTGGTGTGGGATATAAGGGGACGTACTCAGAAATTTCGTACCAGGGAGTATTTATTTCAAGATTAATTTTGTGAGTCGTCTTGTTATTACATCCTTTTTCTAAATTGAAATACCGATACTATTATGAAAAAAAAAATCCTACTCCTACTATAACAATAATCCTAATAATTTCACTAATATTATAAAAGCGAAAGTTTGTGTGTTCTTTCTTTCTCCTTGACCTTATCCCACGCTAATTATGTACTGTAAATGTGTTATTTTTTCACGCTGACTAACGGCTGGACTATTATGTCGTATGTATGTGTCGGTATACTACTTAATATTTCTATGGAAGAACAAGTAATATATAAACATAAACTCGATTAACGCTATCGTAAAGTTATTTAAATTATTTTGTTGCGCTCGCACTCGACATACAGTACTAAATTCTATTTTAAATTCAATTACCCGCAAAAATAACTGTTTTGGTTAGTTGTTGTCGGTTTGATGCCCTATCGTTTTCTATGGTAGCAAAATGCTTAAAACGAATATCTATATATTTTCTAGCACTAGTTTTAGCATGTGGCATGCGTCGAGGAATACTGCTACTTCGTAGTCAGCACTAGGGTGTTTAATAGTTGATTTTATTTTCTGAGGATCTAACGAACATCCTAACTTTTTAAGCATAGCAATATTTGCAGCGCAACCATCTATCGTAAGTGAAACAACGTCTACACACCATTTTCTTGGAATTTGGAGAGGCATTGTTAAACTATTGAGGTCCGTTTTTCTCCGGTCATAGAACGAATCAGAAAATAACCCACAGGTAATTTCCAACGTTCTGTTTGAGATACAAGTAACAAAACTAAGGCTTGAGACGCCTGATCCGAGTTATCCTTTTGTACGTCATTAAGCCCGAGATCAACATAACCATGATATTTATTTCCATCCCATTCAACATGCTTCCTAACAGCCATCTCATCCATAATAAGACTACACAAAGCACGTTTACGTGATGAGTTGGTTTTGTGCTTTAATACATTAAAAGCCTCAGCTGTAAATCGAGCTTCACCATTGACACTTTCATACCATTTAGAAATGGTTCTCGGATGCGGTAAGCATGTATCGAAAGTTTTCCCGACGTATGAGTACGCATTTGGCGAAAAATAATGAAGCGTTAAAGCGAATGATCTAAGGGCTGGAGAATATTTCTTTTTCAAAGGAACTTTTTTAATTTTTGATAACTGACGCCCAACCAAGTCTTTCAACTTTACATTTATTGAAGATAAAATTTCGGAATCCTCTCCCTGTAAAAGATGTTTGGTTTCCAATTCTGTAATTAAGGCAGTTAAATTTTGAACCTAAAACAAAAGCGAAACGTACTTAAAGCGTATTACATTTAGAAAAAAAAAAACATCTTAAAGTTGTATGTGAAGCTAAAGTAGTGTCACTATACAAGCACCTTCTTTTTCAAACGTTTAACTTTCATTTGAAGTCTTCTGCTCTAGCCTGATTGAAGTTCTCGCTTTAGCTTCTTCTTTCTAGGGGAATCGTGAAATATTAAAAATTCATTTAAATCACTTGTGGTAGGCCTAGGTGGTGATATTGAGGGCTCTGGTAATTTTCTTTTAATCTATAATATAAAGTATAAAACAACAATATGAAATTAACTCCTTCTACCAAAATAAGAAAACTAGTAAAATACAAAGTGCATCCAAAAGAACCGATATATCCAGATTAATACTGGGTAAAGTTCCCTGCTTTAATTTTTTAAAGCCTTTTAGTCGTCATCATTGAAATGGCATGAACAAATCTTTGTATATTTTGTCGGAGTCCAGTCTTTTCTATTAATTTTTGCTATCCATTGCTGTTTAAGATTATCTTCGGATGGAAATCTAGAATATAAAGTAAATAAAATAACCTGAGTGAGCTTCTTAACTAACTGAACAACTGTTATAATAGTTGTCTTTCTTAAGAAAAGTTTCAAGGAGACTGAATACTGTACATAAAATATTTAATTTCAAGAAGACTTTATTTCTAAGGATAAAATGAATATTTCTTGAAGGTTGACTTTTACAAAATGCTAAATATTGAAGTATTTATATACATTGTAGACCTTTCGTAAACAATCAGCCTAAGTAATATTTCCTTCCTTTAAAGCCGTGGGTAACTGGGTAAAATAATTGGATTCTTATTACGGCCCTGTCTTTTTATTTTATTTTTGATTGTTCTTTTACTTGACGGTAGATGGCAGCCTGTTTACAAAATGATTATAAAATCTATAAAGGTAATATTTTGGCGAATAAAAATTCTTTAGGACTGAAACCAACTTCAAAAAAAAAAACAATTTCAGCACCTTCGTATGATTGTTTTACCAATACTGAGCTCGACTTACCTTTATATTTTTAGTTCACACGACACAAAGTGCTGCCATCTAGTATCGAATATATTTAATTATATTTGAAAGCCGATGCAAAGAGATCTTTCTAGAATTATTTTAAGAAATTAGATATATAATTACTTACACATGTAATGTGATACCATCCATAGCATCAGAGCGTCTATCTGAGAAGTTTTTACACGATAAAACACAACACTTCATCCTTATCTTCTTAATAATACGAAAATACACTGATTTGCAATTTTCGACACCGATGCGCACAGGACGAACGCTGACAGTATACTAACTAAAGCAACGCCCACTGTGATGACGTCAGGACCTAGTTAGAACACAGTGCACAGTCGCTTAGGCCGTCTCCTCTTTATATTTGCTCTGTGGGATACACAGCCAGTAGTTTTAAAGCAAAAATACACTTACGCATTTAGCAAACCTCCAATATCTCGTATGCGTGTGAAGGGCGATATGTGAGGCGACATTCCACCCTTTCTTTCAGTTTCTGCTAACTGCAAAGCTTGACGCAATTCCATAAGTGTGTCGCCACCAAATACGCATGCCATGAATACCTAATAAATAGAAGATGTTACGTTATTTTACGTGGTATAGCTACGCTGCAGCTATATTATGGGTATCCTCGAATGGGTCGGCTTGACCAGGGAAAAACCACGCTCACATAGAATACCTGTGAATAGTGTAAAATAGCAGCATAACGCTGATGTGTTTCGTATGATGACTATAGACAGCCGGAGATTCTTCTTACTGAAAAGGAGGGAGGGCAAAAATACCCACTACCACATATAGAAACTGAGGCAGAAGATGGGCAGCACCATCTTTCTGATAACAGCAAATCAACAATAATAATAATGTCCTCCAGACCGAATTTAGGTCACGGCGGCCTGCCTCAACGGAGGCTAGCCATCGGCGCAGGACTGGATTATAGTGCCCAAGTGTATGCGCAAGCACAGGTGTACTCTCTATTCCCTCACTCTTTTTGTTTGTTGGTTTTTGGTTTTTTTTTTTTTTTCGTTGGTTAATTTTCATAATCCGATGGGACGGTAAACCGACACAACCGGAGAGAGATCAGGCGCAGGACCAACGGCTTTACGTGCTTTCCGAGGCACGGGGGTAAGACACCGCCAACGTCTTGACTCCGGGCAGCTGCTGAGAATTTCTTGACAGAAAAACTCAATTTGATTTTTTGGCACGACCCGGGATTCGAACCCAGGACCTCATGATCAGTAGTCGCACTACTACAACCACTAGACCAACGAGGCCGTCAAAAAAATTGCAGTTGTCAACCCGCTCGCCAAGTGTGGCAACTATGGCTTATACTCCACATGATGAGAATTACGAAGAGACGGCCCCCAGTCCCCGGAAGCCCCACTATTCCTGGCTACGGTGGCGAACATGGTAACGGCGGAGCAGGGCATGCTAAGAATCTCCAGTGGAGGTTCGGTTACCACCTAAGACTACTCGACCTGACAACATTCAACGCAGGCATCCTTAGGACTAAGGAAAAGATCCTGGACCCGGTAGAAGAAATAGACAAGTTGCGCTGGAACATTATAGGATTATCCGAGGTCCGAAGAAAGGGGGAGAAAACGGTTATCCTCGAATCCAGAAACTTGTTCTATCACCGGAAGGGCGATCATTTTTTCCAAGGAAGTGTCGGATTTATTGTAACAATGTTATAAAGATTGGGAGTGTTTCGACGAGTGTTGCGTACCTTATGCTCAGAATCACCAAACGGTATTTGCTGAAGGTCATACACGTTTACGCACCAACCTCGGCACATCCCGATGAGGAGGTGGAGAAATGTGCGAGAATATATATAGAGCTATGCATTCCTCCAAAACCCACTATACGGTGTTAATGGGAGACTTCAACGCAAAACTTGGGATATTAGAAATTTAGGATAGGGCAACGGAACCCAAAGAGCCAGCAGCTGGCCAACTTCATGGAGAAAGAGGGACACTTTATGATCAATTCTTTCTTCCAGAAGCGGCCCCACAAAAAGTCATTTTTGGTCGAGCTCGACAAAAAATGAGAAAAAACTTCATTATGACGACTAGATGGCAACTGTTCAGTGATGTCTAAGAACACTGTTAGCGATCACGGAATGGTGAGGGGCACATTGAACCTAAACGTTAAGTTGAAGAGGTCACATCTCATTAGAAGTCTAAGCTCTGTCCCCCTCGTGCTCTAATCTAGAGTCCCGAAACTTTCAGCCCGAGTTACAAAATCCAAAAGAATGACAAGCTATCGGAGCTAAGTTCTGGGAGATCCGTCGCAGAAGAACACAAAAACTCTCCAATCACACTCTTAATCTTATGGCTCTTAGACGGGAAATGAAGCTGAATCTGTCTTCAGCAGATGTGGCAGGCATGCATGCAGGCAACTGAACAGACAGATCTCCAATGCATTCAGCGGGACTTAAGCAACTACTTAAGCAACTTCAATACAGCTCGTATTGAAGAAACAAGAGCGGAACCAGGGCTCCAAAATCTTACCCAGATATCTGTCTGCCAGAAAGAGCCAACTGTCAAAGCTGCAGACCGTATGTGGCAGCATCGTTTCCGGGTCACCTGAGATTTTAAGTGAGATTAAGATGTTCTATGGGCAGCTGAACTCGTCATCGTTGTAGCCACTCGCAAGTGTGAGTAACGATCAAAGAGCAAGTCTTTTCCAACACTATCTGATGATATCTCGGACGCCAGTGTGAGCGAGATTAGAATGGCTCTCCAGGACCTTAAAAACGGCAAGTCCCCGGGCGAGGCTGGAATTATAGCGGAACTTCTGAAAGCGGGTGGAAAACTGATACTTAGTCCTTCAGAAACTCTTCAATTCCGTCCTCCATGGTAGCACTACTTCGGAGACGTGGAGCAGAAGTGCGGTGGTCTTGTTCGTTAAGAAAGGCGACAACGCTCTCTTGAAGAACTACAGACCGATTTCCTTTTGAGGCGCGTCTCCGTGCTTTTTTTTTAATCATTACGAATCTCCATGCACACAGACTATAAGAATTCCAGCTTTCCAGCGAAAAAGTCGTTTTTGAAAAGATTTTAGTACCATAGACCACATACATGCCTTCAGCAAATTGTGCAGAAGACCGGGAAAAAAGGTTCTCGAGTGGCAGCCTTGTAACCACATACTCACTAGATGGAGTGACGACTTGGTAAGACATGCAGGACGTCGATGGATATAGGTGGCTCAGGATCATGCCTTGTGGCATTCCTTGGCGGAGGCCTATGTTCAGCAGTGGACTTGTGAAGGGCTGTAATGATGATGATTATGAATAGCAACTTTACTGCACTTTTTCTATTTCTCTTCCTTAAAAGCTTGTTAATAGTCAGACGTGGTTTCTCCTAAAGTAGGCAAGTTTAGCCATAACAGCCACCCTTGAGAGTCACACTGGAATATTCCAAATGGAGGTGATAATTCGTATGTATATACATATACGAGTTGATATACATCGCCATATAATGGATGCATGCGTCTTTTTGGCATTTTATTACTGTTTCGTAATAGTTGGTGTGTCTGTTACTAATCATGTATCTGTTGGTGATCACGTATCTGTTAGTGATCATGTATCTGTAGTGATCAGATATCTGTTAGTGATCATTTATCTGTTAGTGATCATGTATCTGTTAGTGATCATGTATCTGTTAGTGATCATGTATCTGCCTAAGACATGCAGGACGTCGATGGATATAGGTGGCTCAGGATCATGCCTTGTGGCATTCCTTGGCGGAGGCCTATGTTCAGCAGTGGACTTGTGAAGGGCTGTAATGATGATGATTATGAATAGCAACTTTACTGCACTTTTCTATTTCTCTTCCTTAAAAGCTTGTTAATAGTCAGACGTGGTTTATCCTAAAGTAGGCAAGTTTAGCCATAACAGCCACCCTTGAGAGTCACACTGGAATATTCCAAATGGAGGTGATAATTCGTATGTATATATATACGAGTTGATTACATCGCCATATAACGGATGCATGCGTCTTTCTGGCATTTATTACTATTTCGTAATTGTTGGTGTATCTGTTACTAATCATGTATCTGTTAGTGATCACGTATCTGTTAGTGATCATGTATCTGTAGTGATCATATATCTGTTAGTGATCATTTATCTGTTAGTGATCATGTATCTGTTAGTGATCATGTATCTGTTAGTGATCATGTATCTGTTAGTGATCATGTATCTGTAGTGATCAGATATCTGTTCTCTGCGTCTTTCTGGCACTTTATTACTATTTCGTAATTGTTGGTGTGTCTGTTACTGATCATGTATCTGTTAGTGATCATGTATCTGTAGTGATCAGATATCTGTTAGTGATCATTTATCCGTTAGTAATCATGTATCTGTTAGTGATCATATATCTGTTAGTGATCATGTATCTGTTAGTGATCATGTATCTGTTAGTGATCATGTATCTGTAGTGATCAGATATCTGTTAATGATCATTTATCTGTTAGTGATCATGTATCTGTTAGTGACCATGTATCTGTTAGTGATCATGTATCTGTTAGTGATCATGTATCTGTTAGTGATCATGTATCTGTTAGTGATCATGTATCTGTTAGTAATATTATAAGGCTAATATTATTATTATTATTGGGGGGTATCAATATAGTTTTCTCATCTGGTTGGGTTCTATAAATATATAATTATAAATGGAAATGAAAAGATTAAAATACATAAATATCAATAAAATTAAATAAATATAAAAATACATAAATAAATAAAATCCCAACCAGATGGAGGCCCTCGGCAGGGGAGACCAAACGGCCGAGGGTTAGGGGGAAAAGGGAAAGAAACCGGCGGACGATGCGGGCAGTATCGAGGAGCACCGCCTTCTGCATTTGAGCCTGGAGCGGTCCGCCACGTAGTCCCAGCCGCCTCAGATGACCCAAGAGGCTGACTGGGATTAGCCCGTTTGCAGAGACGACTACAGGAATAATTTCGGTCGGCAGACCACCTCACATGTCGGTCACCTCGTGGGCCAGGTCCAGATATTTTGTTCGCTTATCTGTTTCAGCTTTCACGAGGTTCTCGTCATACGGAATAGTAATGTCGACCAAAAATATCCTTCACTGTGCCCGGTCCATCAGCACAATATCAGGCTTATTCGCAAGAATAGTCCTGCCTGTGATGATAGCCCGGTCCCAATAGAGCCTGGCGCGATCATTTTCGAGCACGGCTTCCGGTAAGTACTTGTAATAAGGCAATTTCCGATCCACAAGACCGTATTTCAGTGCAAGCTCCTGGTGAAGAATTCTGGCTACTAGGTTGTGTCTGTGCATGTACTCAGAGTTAGAAAGTGATTCACCGGTATGGCGACAAGGTCGACAGAATGCCGACGGTGCCATCCTTTTGGATGTATTTCGGATAATTGTTGGTCTTCATAACCTGATCTTGTATTGCACAGACAAAACCCTCGGTTTCCCCGAAGAGGTCACCAAAGCGTAGTCAGTGAAGGGAGGCTACTGTGTCTACGAAAGGCTCATGTAGAGCCTTGTAGAACCTCCCGTGGAGCTCCTTCTCCTTCCATACGGTCTCCCGGTCGGAAATGCTCTGCACTGCCGGGTCTTGCCATTGCTCGTTGGCTAAGGATAGAGGGGTAAGCCCTTTATCACTAGAAATGACGTCATTATAGAATGGATCATCCGATCTCGCCAAGAAGTATTGACGGAGACTGCACACTTCGCGATTATGCATGGTGAGCGCGCTCAGAAAGCCACGCCCACCGTGCTTTCGCGGCAAGTACAGCCTCATTACCGACGATCTCGGATGATGCATCCTATAGGACGTCATGGTAGTGCAAACTTTTCTATCCAGGGCATTAAGTTCAGTCTGAGTCCACCTGAGTATGCCAAAGGTATACATGAGGACAGGCATGACCCAGCAGTTATATGCGTGTGCCTTATTCACACCGGACAAAAGGCTGTTAAGCACTTTGGTCAAGCGTGCATAAAACATGTCGCAAACTGACTGTTTCATACCAGCCTCATCGATACCGTTGTTCTGTGACATACCCAGGTATCGGTATGTTTCAGCCTCGGAAAGGGTTCTTAAGTTGACGGGCATAGATAAGTCTATGCCCTCAGAGTTAGTAACCCTTCCCCTTTCAACATGGAGGACCGCAGAGAGAGGCAGAACCAGATTGGACGCAGACAATCGCCCTGGAAGATAGCCCTTCTTATCCTTATGTGGTTCTCCGCAGCCATCATCCGCTCGCCCAGATGACAAAGGATCGTACTCCACTGCCCCATACACTGCTCGAGGAAGTCTCTAACTGTACAGTCCATCTTGTACAGCTCGAGGACTCTCTTTAGCCATGTATGGGGCACCGAGTCGAATACCTTTCTGTAGTCTATCCAGGCGGCGGAGAAGTTCCGACGGTTGCGTTTCACCACTTTGCTAATGACCGCGTCAAAGAGTAGTGGTTCCTTGGTTCCACGACCACCGCCCCGACATCCATTTTGAGCGCGCGACATCACCTGATTTGAGTCCAGGTGAAGAGTGATTCTCGCGCTCAAAATGGATGTTAGTGTCTTGTATATGGTCGGTAGACACGTGATGGGGCGGTATTTGCTCGGGTCTGTGGTACGCTGGTCTTTAGGAACCAAATGGGTGATCCCAGTAGTGAAGAGGCTCGGGAGCGACTTCTGGTTGAGAGCCTCTTGAAACTGTCGGGCGAGCACAGTGTGACACACCACGAACCCCTTCAGCCAGTAGTGATGCAGCCCGTCGAGTCCCGGACTTTTCCAGTTCGGGGCCCTACGGACTGCCTCAGCTACGATCGGTGTTATAATGACGGGGTCCATGGGCGTCATACTCGCACACTGACTCGCCACAACTTCCGTCCAAGGGCCCTCGCTGTGGTTTACGGGCTCCGACCACAGGCCACGCCAGAATTCTATAGTGTCGGCCTGATTCGGTGCTGCGCCCGTTCCACTTACCATTGGTCGCTCCAATGATTCATAAAGCCTCTTCTGATCACTCTGGAAGAGACGATTCTGGTTGAACCGTGTCGACCTCTCGGTATATCGCCGAATCCGCCTTCCCCAAGCAGCGATTCTCTGCTTCAGATCATCTATGCACTCCGTCAGTTTTTGCGTTATATCCGGCTGGGACAAACTGACATTTGTCCCAGCAAACGCCATCCTGACGGTGCGCACAATTCTTGGCCTGTTATTGCCTGATCTGAAGCATATCATTCTGCCGATGAGAGCCCTAGCCTTTGCGATACGTTCCTCAATTGTTCTTCTCCATGCTGGGATAGCGCTATTTTGGCCAGTAGCGCGTCCAGCCGCGGAAACCTTGGCGCCTATGATACGGCAGGCTGCCAGCGCGGCGCCAAAAAGAATTGAGTCCGTCTCGCAAAGGTCCCGGCTGGCTTCCAAATAGGTCACCAGCATTGGGTTCAGAGCCCTCACGACAGCCCGATTCCGCTTTCTTAGGGCTATGCGGGGAAGTCGCGGTCGATTTTCGAGAAGCGTACTGCGCGTTTCCACAATCGCCACTTCCAATGTACTCATATGCTCTAATTCCAGTTCCTGGGCGACTGTTCCATCATCGTTCGAATCAACCACAACTGAGGGAACAGCCTCACATCGTAGCCGTTCGAGTTCGGCGACATCAAATATATTTGAGCGCAAGATATACCGAACGTGTTCTGCCAGGTTTTGCTCTGTGACGGTTAAAGATGGCTCCAGCTCAGCAAAAAGACGATGCGTCCTAGCCCGATACGCCAAACATCCAGTTTCTTCCCCTTTTGCCCTAAAGTACGCCCGCTGTGCGTTTGCGTTCATTGTTTGTGACCAACGCTTGCGACGTGCTCCACTAGCGGCGGGTGCCGCTTGCTGAGTCCGAGAAGACCCAGCCGACACCTAGCCTTATTATTATTATTATGGGGTATCTGTATTAGTTTTCTCATCTGGTTGGTTTCTATAAATATATAATTATAAATTAAAATGAAAAGATAAATATACATAAATATCAATAAAATAAAATAAATACTAAAAATACACAAATAAATAAAGATCCAACCAGATGGAAGCCCTCGGCAGAGGAGACCAAACGGCCGAGGGTTAGGAGGAAAGGGAAAGAAACCGACGGACAATGCGGGCGGTATCAAGGACCACTGCCTTCTGTATTCGAGGAGCTCAGGAGTCCAGGCTAGATGGAAGGCTCGGGGAGGAGGAATAATTTCGGTCGGCCGACCACCCCACATGTCGGTCACCTCGTGAGCCAGGTCCAGATATTTTGTTCGCTTATCTGTTTCGGCTTTCACGAGGTTCTCGTCATACGGAATGGTAATGTCGACCAAAAATATCCTTGACTGTGCCCGGTCCATCAGATCAATATCAGGCTTATTCGCAAGAATAGTCCTGTCTGTGATGATGGCCCGGTCCCAGTAGAGCCTGGTGCGGTCATTTTCGAGCACGGCTTCCGGCAAGTACTTGTAATACGGCACTTTCCGGTCCACGAGACCGTATTTAAGAGCGAGCTCCTGGTGTAGAATTCTGGCTACTAGGTTGTGCCTGTGCAAGTACTCAGAGTTAGAAAGCGCCGAACAACCGCAGATGACATGCCTAAGTGACTCCCCCGGGATGGCGACAAGCTCGACAGACGTCGACCCTGCCATCCTTTAGGATGTATCTCCGATAGTTGTTGGTCTTAATAACCTGATCCTGTATTGCACAGACAAAACCCTCGGTTTCCCCATAAGAGGTCACCGAAACGTAGCCAGTTGAGGGAGGCGACTGTATCTACGAAGGGCTCATGTAGAGCCTTGTAGTACCTCCCGTGGAGCTCCTTCTCCTTCCATACGGTCTCCCGGTCGGAAATGCTAAGCACTGCTGGGTCCCGCCATTGCTCGTTGGCTAAGGATAGAGGGGTAAGCCCTTTATCACTAGAAATGACGTCATTATAGAATGGATCATCCGATCTCGCCAAGAAGTATTGACGGAGACTGCACACTTCGCGATTATGCACGGTGAGCGCGCTCAGAAAGCCACGCCCACCATGCTTTCACGGCAAGTACAGCCTCATTACCGACGACCTCGGATGATGCATCCTATGGGACGTCATGGTAGTGCGGACTTTTCTATCCAGGGCGTTAAGCTCAGTCTGAGTCCACCTGAGTATGCCACAGGTATACACATGAGGACAGGCATGACCCAGCAGTTATATGCGTGTGAGTTATTCACACCGGACAAAAAGCTGTTAAGCACTTTGGTCAAGCGTGCATAAAACACGTCGCAAACTGACTGTTTCATACCAGCCTCATCGATACCGATGTTCTGTGACATACCCAGGTATCGGTATGTTTCAGCCTCGGAAAGGGTCCTTAAGTTGACGGGCATAGACAAGTCTATGCCCTCAGAGTTAGCAACCCTTCTCCTTTCAACATGGAGGACCGCACATTTATCCGTCCCCAGCTCCATTCCAATGGAACTGCTAAATTCACAAGTGATGTTTAGCAGTTCCATAAGATGGGAGCGACTGGAGGCGAATAACTTGAGGTCGTTCATATAGAAAAAAGTGGGTTACTTTTGTCCCTCCTTTCCGTAGCTGAAATCCCCTCCCGGAGCCCTCCAGTAAGGTACTGAGAGGGTTCAGAGAGAGGCAGAACCAGATTGGACTCAGATCGCCCTGGAAGATAATCCTTCTTATCCTTATGTGGTTCTCCGCAGCCATCATCCGCTCGCCCAGATAACAAAGGATCGTACTACACTGCCCATACACTGCTCGAGGAAGTCTCTAACTGTGCAGTCAATCTTGTACAGCTCTTTAGCCATGTATGGGGCACCGAGTCGAACGCCTTTCTGTAGTCTATCCAGGCGGCAGAGAAGTTCCGACGGTTGCGTTTCACCACTTTGCCTATGACTGCGTCAATGAGGAGTGGTTCCTTGGTTCCACGACCACCGCCCCGACATCCATTTTGAGCGCGTGACATCACCTGGTTTAGCTCCAGGTGACGAGTGATTCTCGCGCTCAAAATGGATGTCAGTGTCTTACATATGGTGGGTAGACACGTGATGGGGCGGTATTTGCTCGGGTCTGTGGTATCCTGATCTTTAGGAACCAAGTGAGTGATCCCAGTAGTGAAGAGGCTCGGGAGCGATTTCTGGTCGAGAGCCTCTTGAAACTGTCGGGCGAGCACAGCGTGACATACTATGAACCCCTTCAGCCAGTAATGATGCAGCCCGTCGAGCCCCGGATTTTTCCAGTTCGGGGCCCTACGGACCGACTCAGCCACGTCTTCCGGCGTTATGGTGATGGGGTCCATAGGCGTAACAGTCGCACCCTGGCTCGCCATAACTTCCATCCAAGGTCCCTCGCTGTGCTTTATGGGCTCTGACCACAGGCTACGCCAGAATGCGATAATGTCAGCCTGATCCGGTCCTTGGCCCGCTCCACATACCTTTGGTCGCTCCAATGATTTATAGAGCCTCTTCTGATCACTCTGGAAGAGACGATTCTGGTTGAACCGCCTTGACCTCTTGCTTCAGGTCGTCTATGCGCTCCGTTAGTTTCTGCGTGATATCCGGCTGGGACAAACTGATATTTGTCCCAGCAAACGCCATCCTAACGGTGCGCAAAATCCTCGGTCTATTATTACCCGACCTGAAGCTTGTCAGTCTGCCGGTAAGGGCCCTTGCCTTTGCAACACGGTCCTCGATTATTTTTCTCCAGGCTGGGATGGCGCTACTTTGTGTAGTAGCGCGTCCAGCCATGGGAAGTTTGGCGCCAATAATACGGCAAACTGCCACTGCGGCGCCAAAGAGAATTGAGTCCGTCTCGCAAAGGTCCCGGCTGGCTTCCAAATAGGTCACCAGCATTGGGTTAAGAGCCCTCACGACAGCCCGATTTCGCTTGCTTAGGGGTATGCGGGGAAGTCGCGGTCGAATTTCGAGAGGGGTGCTGCGCGTTTCCAAAATCGCCTCTTCCAATATACTCCTCATTTGCTCTAGTTCGTGGGAGACTATTTCATCGACGTTCGAATCAACCACAGCTGGAAGATCCATGGCGGCTTCCACGTGTGGATGCTGGTCTGTCGAATGTGGAGCTGCATCTCCAGCCATAGCCGATTCATTCGACGACGGAATAGCCTCACGTTGTAGTCGTTCGAGTTCGGCATCATCAAATATTTTCGAGCGCATGATGTACCGAATTCGGTCTGCCAGGTGTTGTTCCGTGACAGGAATAGAAGGCTCCAGCTCAGCAAAAAAGCAATGCATCCGAGACCTATACGCTATTCCCACAGTTTCTTCCCCTTTCGCCTTATAGTACGCCCGCAATGCGTTTTCGTTCATAGATTTTGTCCAACGCATGCGACGTGCTCCACCAGCGGCGGGTGCCGCTTGCTGAGTCCGAGAAGACCCAGCCGACACCAAGCCTTCTGGTGGGGATGATGGATGCGAGGGGCTGATAGGTGATCGTGCAGCTCCTCGCGCTCGGCTGGCGGCCCGGGGCGCCCCCAGGCAGCGGCCCTATGCGCGTTCCTTTCTGTGTTTCTTCCATCGTCCATTTTATGGGCGCCAAATAACGGGAGACGCCCAAGCCCGGCACCGTTTCGTGGTTGGGTCATATGCACAAACGGACCTTTGCACCTACAATTTTGCCTAGGCACGGCGCTCACACCTCTTGGCAGGATGCTGACTGACTGCGCCGACGTAGCAGTTTTGTCACATAACTGTTACGTCAGCGGGCGATGGGGTCGTCACTTTTCTACGCTTCCTACCCATCAGTTTCTTCCCCTTTTGCCCTAAAGTACGCCCGCTGTGCGTTTGCGTTCATTGTTTGTGACCAACGCATGCGACGTGCTCCACCAGCGGCGGGTGCCGCTTGCTGAGTCCGAGAAGACCCAGCCGACACCAAGCCTTATTATTCTTATTAGTGATCATGTATCTGTTACTAACTTCTGAACTATTTGACCAATTGAGGTCATATTCACTAAATATAATATTTGTTTTGTCGAGAGAATGGTTTATAAGTAGGAAGTTTAGGAATCGATAAGTGGCGCTGAAATCAGGTTATTAATAAATTTCATATTAATGGAACAAAATGACTCAAACAATATACATATATTGATTTAGTGACAAATAAAGAAATCCATAAAATTTTGACCCGATAGGTAGCACTCGGGCACTCTGGCGAACTGTACTGGTACACACAATCATGCTGTGCATTATATAATCATGTCCTGCGCAGATAGATAGATAGATAGTCTACGTTGAGACTGACCACCGTGACTAAAATTCAGTCTGAAGGACATAACTACTTTTAGTTTTATGGATCATACTCACACCATCTGGCTGTAGACATCTCATGACTCTATCGAAACACCCAGGTAAGTCATTTACCCAATGCAGGGCCAAAGATGACACCAGCAAATCAATGCTATTATCTGGAAACTAAAAAGGAAAACAAAATTCTTGTGAATATATTTTTAGTTGTGGTAGCTCAGGGGCTAAGCGGTTGCTGTAAATGTCACAGTACTTGATAAATCGGGTTCAATCCTCACCGGCACCAATGTAATTGTTAATTGCTATTTTAAGTGTTGCTTTATCACGTGCTCGGCGGTGAAAGAAAACGTAACGAAATCTGCATGGCTGAGAAATAAGAAAAAAAAAAATATTTCGAAGACATGTGAAGTTCGCCGACAAGCTTTGAGGCGAGGCGGACATTTCCTTGCCCTAAAACCCTCTCAGGTATGAGAGGAGGCCGGAGCGGAGGATTGCTCAGCAGTGGGACATATATATAGGCTGTAACTAACTTTTTATTTTTTTGACACTTGAAGACCTTGAACATTGCAAAACAGAAAATAAATTTTATGATTATTATGAACATATATTGTTTTTATATTTAAATATAACTTTATAGGTAAATGTTGAGTAAATCTATAGTTTTCCACAACAGATTCCGAATCCAATAGCTCACATAATATGTACAATGATTTCTGCATTATTAGAACCTCATTTGTATAGAATTAGTGTGTACCTAGCGGATGTAAGGTTGACATTTTTAGAATACACAATAATAATAATATACCATCTAGATTTGACCTCTAATTGTAAATTCAAAATTAAAATTATTATTACCTTGTACTATTGATACATGTTAAAGCAGTTGCAAATGTGCAATCACAATAGAGGAAGTTCTGTTTCTTATAATATATACCAAAATATACGTTACAATTTCTTATCACTCTCACTAATATTTACATTTTAGAAACATCACTTTTTATCAAACAGAATAACTATTTTCAGATTAATTCTAACGTGAATTCACGTCCAATACTCAGAAAATAAAAGCATAATTTATACACACCTACAATTAATAATTATAGGGGGGGGGTTGGGGGGGGGGTGGCGTGTGTATAATATAAGAGGGGGAGTTAAAAAATTTTTGTTGGGAAGGGGGAGGGGGGGAGGCGGGGGGGGGTTTTGTAGATTTAGTTGCGGGAGGGGGGGGGGGGGGGAAGTTTGGGGTTGGGGTTCACAGGTACTAAAATATTTAATCATCTTTCACCTGATATAAAAGCCATGAACTTGCCAAAATTTAAAATACAACTCAAGAAACGGTTAATACATAATGTTTATTATAATTTAAATGAATATTTTAATATCAAATAATTTATATAACTCTGCCTTTGACGGTCCCAAGCCCGTATGAGAAAAGAGGAAGGTTGGTTGAGTGGAGATCTAACCAGCCGTAAAAGATCAACGTCGAGCATCGGGCGACGGTAATTAACCCGATAAAACCCTGGCCTAACAAGCCAGAACCTGTTGGAGGTAGGAAATGACCGCCACAACTCGCAACTCTGTGCATCCACAGAATCGAGGGCCTTGGCTTAGCCGCCCGGGCCGCGAGGTAGAATACCTCTTTAAAAAGTTACCCTAATCCTAAGGTGGGACCACGTGCCGATGGGATGCATGGCTTGCAGGAGGCAAGTCCTTAGCGCCAACCTCGGTGGACCTGGCAAACGCCGTTGTATATTGCCTTCTTGAGGAAATGGGCGTCACCCCTCTTGTGACGTGTTAATCGACCCTACACGTGGGAACAGAATGAACAATTATAACCCTGAAAACGAACAAAAATTAGATAAGAGTAACTTAAAAACTATGACCCAACAACTCTTCCATAAAGTAATGTTCACAAACCGCCCAAGATCAAGCTCCTTTAGTGGAGCAACTAATCAAGGGAACATCGAACTGGCAGATAAAACAGATAAAGAATCCGAAGAACAGCTGATCACAGAAGTGTACTGCGGCAAAAGACAAAGAACCAGTCCAAATGCAGTTATGGGCAATCAAAAGCAGGCAAAATTGAACTAGTGGCTTGCAACACCAGCAGTACCAACGTCCAATCGATTCAAAGGGCTCGAAGTTATAGAGCAAGCAGACAAGCCTGAAATACAAACACCGAAGTCCACAAGACCCCCTCCACTATTTATTGATGTATGTAAATGTTTTATTATCTTTATTTTATATTAAGTTTATTAACGTTACTAAAATTATTATAGGGTGCACACTAAATCTGCTTCTCTTTGAATCTGTCCAGTATCAGGCCTGCTGGAAGAAATTTCACTTTGAAATAAGCAGTGCCTTTTTACAAAATTTCTTTTTATTTTTCATTGTAAAATACTACGTGTGTACATAAATTGTTAAATAAATAAATAAATATTGTCGGAGTCAAGAATATACAACCTTTGATGAAACTATTAGAAGACGTAGCAAAAGGAGAATATGAAATCAAGGTATTACGAGGTGACAGAGTTAAAATATAACCAAAATCAGCCGTATCATACTCCACCTTTTATAAAGAACTAAAGGCTAAAGATATTGAATTTTATAGTTACCAACCAAAACAAGACCGCAGTTTTAGAGTTGTGCTAAAACATCTACACCCATCTACAGACAAAGAGGATATAAAATAGCTATTGAGGAGCTTCACCACAAAGTAGTAAATATCTGGAACATCCAAAACTCAAGAAAAAAACAGGCGCTACCAATGTGGAACATCGAACTGAAGTCCCGCGAAAATAATAAAGACATATATAACTCAAATATCTACCTACGCTGTCGCACCTAGACCAAGGCAAGTAATCCCCCAATGCACTAATTGCCAAGATTACAACCATACACAAAAGTTCTGATATAGAAAGCCCAGATGCGTCAAATGTGCAGGTTCGCACCACACGTCAGCTTGCTTACGGAAAGACAGATCAAAAGAGGTTAAATGTGTCCTCTGCGAGGGAAACCATCCAGCTAACTACAAAGGTTGCACAGTCTACAAAGAACTGTTGAAAGTCCGATATCCCCATACAATCACCAAAGTTAGGAAAAACCCTGGATACACTAGAAAGGAAAAATAACCTATAGACAAATCAATAACGGAAAATCGTATGCCCAAGCCACACAAGAAGTGTGGCTTGGGCATGGCATGGCCCTGGACAACCTACAACACAAACAACGAACACCAAGGATGGAAACCAAAACACGAGTGAGCTCCAAATTATTAAGTAGACACTTGTTGCCTTGATGAATCAAATGTTAATCACGACCAAAACGCTAACCGATTTAATTTCAAAAAAGCCATCACATTCACAGCACTAAAATTGTGTGTATGGAATTCTAATGGCTTGTCAAACCACTCGGAAAAGTTAAAAATATTCGTTAAAATACACCGCATAGATGTTTTACTAATCTCAGAAACCCACTTCACATCAAAAGCCACTTTTACCAGGATACAACATGTACCATACTGACCACCCAGATAACAAAGCACATGGAGGATCGGCCGTTTTTACCAGGTACCATCAGGCATCATGTACTACAACATTATTGCAAAAACTACATCCAGGCAACAAATGTCATGGTAACAGACTGGATTAGTTTTATTACAATATCGGCCCTCTATTGTCCACCTAGATTCACTATCAAGGAATCGGAGTTCAGTAACTTCTTTCAATCACTTGGAGGCAGGTTTATCGCAGGAGATGATTATAATGCCAAGCATTCATTTTGGGGTTACAGGCTTGTTCTACCCAGAGGGTGAGAACTACTTAAATGCATACAATCGTCGTATCGTACGTATCGTCGGGTCAACCAACTTACTGGCCAACAGACAAAAGAAAAATCCCAGATGTTATAGATTTTTGTGTCAGCAAAGAAATCGCTAAAAACATCATATAGTGCCAGAGTTGCTGAGACTTATCTTCAGACCACTCTCCAATCATAGTAGAACTACTTACCACCCCCCAAGAACGCGCCAGAAAATGTGTTCTGCATAACAATAGAACTAACTGGTCTCTATTTCGTGAGCTCACAGACAAAGCATTCCAAGGATCAGTTAGCCTAAAATCGGAAGACGAAATAACGGAAGCGATGCTATACTTCAATAAGAGTGTGCAAGATGCAGCTTGGTCATCGACCCCACCACTACCATCTAGAAACCTGGATACCCACGTACCGAAACACATATTCGATAAAATAATCAAAAATAGGAGGATACGGAAACGCTGGCAAACAACCAGAGACCCTGTGGCGAAAAACAACTCAATCATGCCAACAGACAGCTAAAACATGTCCTAGAGAAAGATCGTAATGACGGATTTCATAATTACCTCACCAGCCTGGATACTACTGCTTCCTCGGACTACTCTTTATGGAAAGCCACCAGAAGACTAAAACGGCCTGTCAACGTCTCTCCTCCTATAAGAAAACCAGATGGTACCTGGGCGCAGACAGACCAGGAGAAAGTTAAAACCTTCTCAGAACACCTTTCCAACGTCTTTACCCCTCACCCATATGACGGCTCACCAGAAGATGCAGCAGAAATTACTAACCACTCAAATAACCCAAAAGATACGCAGGAAATGCCTCTTAAATTTACAAAAACGAATAATTAGAAAATCAAACCCAAAAAAGGCTCCAGGATACGTCGTAATAATACCTCATTACAAACCGAATATTACAAGAACTACCTGAATCTGGCATAACTTTCCTTACTTCACTATTTAATGCCATGACCAGACTGCAGTTTTTTCCCCTGGAGTGGAAGGTCGCACAAATTGTAATGCTGCTAAAATCAGAGAAACAACCTGAAGAAACAAATTCATACAGGCCCATAAGTCTGCTACCCATCCCATCCAAAATATATGAATCCCTACTGCTACAACGAATCTTGCCTATATTCAAAGAGAAGGAGCTAATCCCTGACCACCAGTTTGGATTCCGTAGTAAGCATGCCACTATCGACCCAGTGCACAGGCTAACAAAATACATCATGGAGTCACTGGAAAGTAAATCTTACTGCGCCAGTGCGTTCCCGGACATATCTCAAGCGTATGACCGCGTGTGGCATGATGGATTGTTATTTAAATTGAAAAATGCACCTTTCACCTTTACGGGATATTAAAATCATTTCTCCAGCAGCGCCATTTCATAGTACAACAAGGGGAAGCACTATCAGATCTCTGCCCTATAAAAGCAGGAGTCCCGCAAAGCAGCGTACTGGGTCCCATACTCTACTTACTTTTCACTGCGGACCTGCCGACACCTGAATCATTAATCACTGGAACCTTTGCTGACGACACCGCTATACTGGCTACTCATAGCGACCCAAAAATAGCCTCACAAATACTTCAAAAAGGGCTAAATGACATATTCCACTGGCTCAAAAAGTGGCGGATAAAAGCAAATGAAACCAAATCAATCAACGTAACGTTCACCCTAAGAAGGGGCTCTTGCCCCCCAGTCACACTTACAACATTGTTGTTCCACAGGCAGATCATGTGAGATACCTTGGATTGTACTTGGACAAAAGACTTAACTGGCAAAAACATATTTTCGCTAAGAGAAAACAACTCGGTATTCAAACGCGAAAACTCTACTGGCTCATAGGACGAAAGTCTCAATTGTCTCTAAAAAACAAAATACTTCTGTACAAGGCAATACTGAAACCTATCTGGACGTATGGAATCCAACTGTGGGGTACTGCATCCCATTCAAACATCGAAATCTTACAAAGGTTTCAAAATAAAGCACACCGCATGATAACCAATGCCCCCTGGTATGTGCCCAATGATGTACTACATCATGATCTACGCCTGCCTACTGTGAAACAGGAAATCCTACGCCATACTAGAACTTATAAAGAGCGCATCGAACGTCATCCAAATATTCTAGCCCGGCCACTCATGGCAAACCACAACAATGCGCGACGCTTAAAGCGCAAGATACCACAAGATTTAATACAAACACAAACACAGTAAACCCAGTTACTGTTTAATAATGAGGATGTGACACAGGTCACATACCGAGCACGCCAGCGATAGCACCAACAAACATACTGCTGAATGTCCCTCAAAGGCGACAGATTGTTGTAAATAAAGGATACAAAAAAAAAATTATATCAAGTTTTGTTTCTCAATTATTGCATACCTAATATGGGTTAACGATGTAACATTTAATAGCAATGTCACCAGCAAATTGTACATACACAGTTTATTAGCAATAAATATTCTAAATCTGATTCTGATTCTATACAATACAAATACAAATAAAAATACATATTTTTAAGTAGACCCATACCTACTTCAAAATTTTCTTCATCCATAACAACCTTCTCAAATTTGACTCCATCACCAACTATAGCTTTATCCAGATGTGTTTGTGATGTGTCACACAGGGTTATTTTTTCAACACTATCAGGAAGAAAATGACGGGACACATATCCTCTACCAGCTCCTATAATAATAAAATGTTTTATGGTCAATAAACTTTGGGGAAGACATGCCTATTTGTAAAGTACATATATGTTATATTATATATAAGGAGTAAGGGTGAAAAAGGAGCACACAGTTGTCTAGATGATAAGTGGATAGTGTCACCCATAGAGACCTACATTTATCCTTGATTAAGAATCAAACTGCAGATGCATTGTCACCCCTGAGGATTAAGATTCAATACCTCATTCCCAGTAATAAGAATCTCCGTTTCTTTACGATCACCATATGAAATATAGCAGCATTAAGCTGCTAATTCACTCAATTATTTTTGTGAGAATGTGGTCCTTCCCCAGTCAGGCCAACCCATTCATGCTACAACTATAATACAGCTGCAGCATGACTCTACCACGTAAGGATTATGTTTATAGGTACTTCTATAAAGTAATACCTAAATAGCAGTATGTCTAATCTGCAAAGGCTCTATCTCTAGGAGGTGCTTCTCATCTCTGTGCTTTACTGGGGAGGCCATGAAACTAATAATTATTAATAATAATAAAAGCCTATTATTCAGACAATATTAGTTGATACATTCTTCCTTTTTTTAAACTAATTTTGCTTCAACATCCCTGCCCGTGTGCCACTTTCGACAAAGGCCTCCTCCAACTGTGACCATTTTTCTCTTTCCCCCCACCCTTTTCCACTGTCCCCTCCCACACTTTTTTTTTCTTCCCCGCTTTGGATTCTGCCTGTTTCCTTCTGTTTCCTGTGAACCAGAACATTATTATTTTTGACCATTTTTCTTAGTCCCTAATTGTATGCCCTGTCCATTTCCATTTCAATTTTCTTATGATTACTGTAATATCCCTTGTTCCAGTGTGTTTCTTTATGGTTGTAGTTCTTATTTTATCTGTCAGTTTTTCCCCAACATACTCCTTTCCATAGCATTTTAGCACACTGCAAGTTTTCTGTTGTGAGATTTAGTAAGTGCCCAGGTTTGGCAACCATATGTCAATACAAGCAATATACAAGTATCAAACAGTTTTTGCTTGATGATCATACTTATTTCTCCGTTTTTCATAATCTTGTTCAGACTCCAATATTGTTTCTTTGCATTCCCAATGCGTTTATCAATTTCTTTTGAAGTTGCATCTGTTGGCGAGATTACTTGGCCCAGATTTTGTTGTTGTTAACATATTAGTATATATAGTTCCTTCCTCCCATTTGTCATGACTCGAATGACTAATCCCACTCTATGACTTACTATGTCTAGGTCATTTAACATTTCCTGTAGTCCTTCTGCCGATGGTGAGAAGATTATCAGATCGTCCGCAAATCTTAAGTGCGACATATCTCTCATTGATAATCCACATTTCTCCCAATTCAGGTAACGGGAAGCCTCCTCCAGGAAAGCTGTGAAAAGTTTTGGTGAGATGGCGTCGCCTTGGCATACACCTCTTCCTATTTTTATTTCCTTGCCTTCTCTTTCTAGCTGGATTCCAACTTTGCTGTTTTTATATATGTTTTTTATTATCTTTATGTATTTATTTTCGATACCCTGGTTTTTAAGCTCTTGCCAGATCTCTTCATGTTCAAGTGAATCAAAGGCCTTACTGTAATCTACAAAATTGCAGTAGAAGGTTATATTAAATTCCTTACCTTTTGATTTTTACATTAGTAAGAAACTCTCAGGAAAGCTGAAAAGTTGTAGATGGTCCTTAACCTCTTCCTATTTTATTTTTTCCTTCTTTCTGGATATTTTTTATATGTTTTTTTCTTTTTATTTATTTTACCTGGTTTTTAAGCCCAGATCTCTTATGTTAAGTGAATCAAAGCTTTGTTCTGAGTAGAAGGTTATATTTTCCTTACCTTTTCGAATAGTTGTTTCACCACATGTATATGGTCTAATGTCGAGTAACCACTTCTATATCCTGCTTGTTCTCTCGGTTGATTATCCTCTAGCATCTTGGATATTCTGTTAAGAATTACCTTGGCAAAAACTTTGTAGATATTTAACACTTGTTATGTATATATGTCAGGATTAGTATATAAAATGTGATCTTTATTTTCGATAAGAAGTTTGTTACTGATTCCATCTGAACAAGGAGCTTTATCTTACTTTTGAGTCTTTACAGCTTTTTCTACTTTTGCAGGTATTATATCTAGTATTTCTTCCCCGCCCGCTAGGTCTGTTGTTTTTATTTGCATACAACTCTCGGAAAAAGTTTGTGGCTATTGAGATAATTTCGGGGCGTCTGGTTTCGCTATTGCGGTTTTTATCTGTGATACTGGGTATCCACTCTATTGTTTCTTTCAATATTTTGAATGCTCTTTTGGTGCCTCAGTTCTCCTGAATACATCTTTCTAGTAATCCTAACCTGTCTTTAGCGGTTTCTTCTCATGTTAGATTTGATTTTCTTACTTAAGTCAGCTATACCTCTACTTGATTCTTTTGTTTTTTGGGCCATCGATGTTAATACAGCCCTGTTTCTTAACAATTCTTTGGTATCATTTGTTAGCCATTTCCCCTCTTCTCTATTACTAGGATTACTCTTCACTCCTGTAATTAATAGCTCTTGGAATTTGTTGTATTTGGTTTTAATATCTAGATTTTTTGTGTTTTCTATAAAATTTTCTAATTTTACTTTTAGCGTTCAGTATTTTCTAGTATTGAAATGTTGGTTGGCTTTACCTTAAAAGGTCTGTTTCTCTTCAACATCTGGAAACAAAGTTTAGCTCTGACCATTCTATGGTTGATGTTGAAATTTAGGTTATTTATGACTCTACAATCAGTGAAATCTTTACTTTTATTAGTTAGTATATAATCTATCTTGTTACTATATTGGCAATCTGGAGATTTCAAAGACCATCTGTTATTATCACTTTATTTGTATAGGCTATTAAGTACTTTCAGGTTGTTTTCATATGCCATTTGTTTGAGTTTCTCGCCATTCCTTGTTCTCTTTCCTGAACAATGAGGACCTAATACCGTCTCTTCTCCATAGCCTCTACTTCCCATTCTTGCGTTGAAATCGCCCATAACTATCAAATTATTGTGTGCATAATTTTTTATTGCTTCTATTAGCATAGAGTAGAATGAGTCAATTTCAATAATACTGGTCTTTTCAGTTGGAGAGTAAAATTGTATGACTAACCACTTTGCGTTTTTTGGCGGTAATTTTAAGTTGAGTATAACAATAAGTTTGGATAACCCTACGAATTTGTCAAAGTAGTCTTAATTATTTTTTGACCACAAATCCACATTGACCTGGTGTATCTCCTTTAGAATAAAAATAAAGTTGCCATAATTCTCTATATTTTCTCCCAGGCATCGAACTTCACTCAGTCCTACTATCGACCAGTTGATGTGTTCCAATGCTAGTTTCAGCTCAACCAGGCTTTCATTGGTTCTTAGAAAGAGGGTATTGTATGTTGCTATATTAATTATGGCACATGTGCTTCAAGTTTGAGTGGGTCAGTTGAAGGGTAGTGGTCTTCTTCCCCCACGGTGTGAATGAAGCTAATGATTACACTTAAGTAATTACATTACTAAAATAACTCTCACATGACAATATTTTATAGAAGAATAACTTTCATTCCAGAAGCTGTCTGATCACAATGCATTGATGAAAATTCAAGAGTGGCAATTATGCCAAAACCTCCGTAAGGTGGCAAAAAAGAGTACCCCTATCTCCACATATGCACACCGCGAGGTACCCATAACACAGTCTTCCAGGCTGAATGCTTGGGTATCAACCAAGCGGCCATAGCAATAGATACTAGGAAGGTGAAAGACTTCTCCATCAGAATAATGACCGACAATATGGCGGTACTACAAGCTGAGTTGAAATGTGGCAAACTTGGGACTGATATATGAATGCCATCAACTATGGAAAGAGGTATGTAAGCACAACAATGTGATTCTGCAATGGATCAAGGGACACAGTGGATCTAGAGGCAATGATGTAGCAGATGAACTGGCCAGAAGGGGATCGGCTCTGGCAACTATAGGGTCGGAACCTATAATACTAATCCCCTTTGACTATGTATGTTCACTTGTATGTAGATATTCAATAATTTACTCGCTCAGCTTTGGAAAAATTTTGTAGACTGTAGACAAACTAGGGAGGCCCTGCCTGAAATAAACAGTCCTCTAACCAAGGTTCTAATGAGACTGAACAAGCCACTGATCAGGATAGTAATAAGTACTATCACAGGACATGGCTCTTTTAACAAACATTTGTTTACGATAGGTGTTACTGATAGCCCCTTGTGCAGGGCATGCATGGGAGAGGAAGAAAGGGCGGCTTACATGTTGCTGACATGTCCAGAAGTTGCTTCATACAGGGCTAAACATCTCGGCATGCCGGGATCGCTCCCCGAAGTTGCTTGCAACATCAAAGGACTGTTGAACTTCTTTGGGGAAATATCATGGCTCGAATAACCACATTATTCCTGCCTACACGCAAAATACGCGCTTAGACGTGGAGTTGCGGAAAACAGCTCGTCGTAAACTAAACTAAACTAAGGGTACACCTACATCCAGAAGTGGAATAAACAGGTGGGATTAATTAAGTGAAGTTACATTCTGAAATATATACACTCGACAATTTTTTTTATAGGATAAAGGTGACAAACGTGCACACAGTCCACCTCTCGGTAAGCGGTTGCTGTGGCCCATAGACATCTACATTTAACCTCGATTAAGAATTAAAATGCAGATGCGTTGTCACCCTTGAGGACTAAAATGGAATGCCTCGATTCCAGTAAAACAGGACTCCAGTTGTCTACACTCACCATACTAAACACAGCAACATTAAGCTGATATTTAACACCAGTATTCTGTGAGAATGTGGTCCTTCCCTGGTCGAGCTGACCCATTCATGCTACAACCATAACATAGCTGCAGGGTGGCTCGACCATATACAAAAATTATATATCTTCATAAATGGTGTCTGATAGTTATATTTGACAAATTCAAAAGTGCATGCCTTACACGCTTATTATGTTAAAAATTAAAGTTAAACGAGATGAAAATAGCAACAATATTACAAGAAAAAAAAAAACAGAAAATCTGATCGACTATCATTAATAACTTTTAAATGGTGTTGAGTTTAATAATAAAAATCAATAGGGATCCTTCTAAGAATATATGGAATCTTATTTAGCACTATATATCTCAATCTATTACTTACATTTCTACTAAAGCGAGAAGACTCACCGATGCACAGACCAACAGACGCCAGTCCATATATTTTTTTCAATTACCCTTTTGTTATGTAATCTAAAGTGAATCAGTTAGAAAATATACTAATCTTATAATTTAATGTCTGTAGTTATTGTAAATTAAACTAAAATATGGATTTGATGTCTAGCTAAAAGTTTAAGAATGATTATATGAAGCCAAATTGTGGTATGGCCACACATTGAGAGTAGAGCACTCCCTCATGTTGTGAGGCTCGTAAAAGTTAGTTTAAAGTTACAGCATATATACATCCCACTACTAGGCACAGGCCTCTCCTCATTTCTATGGGTAATTCAGATACCAAGACAATTATAAATTATACTGTAATGTTTACGTAATATTAGACCGAAGAATAGCGAAATTATTTATGTAGACGATATGGTTAGATTTCAAGGATTCATGAATGAAATATGCAATAATTTAACCAGAATAATCAAAGTAGCAAAATGAAATCGTACATATTTTACTTTTAAGGAGTTTACCTAATTCTACTGCATTTTTGAATGTCCTTTTTATATCGAAAACTCGATCAGCTGTTCTCCAACCAACCTCTTCCTTTATATATTCAGCCAATTCATAATCCTCACGTAGGGCCGCCCGTTCTTTTTGCAGTATTTTCGCTTTTCTATCAAAAATATTCATGCTTCTGTATACAGAACTAGCAGTTTTTATTTTAGGTCCTTGTTTTACTTGACTTGTGGTTTGATATCGACAGTCATTTCTATTGACATGGTAACGTAAAAACTTTGATAAATTTAAAATTTTATTTTTATATATATCCATAGATTTAACAAGCGTCGTTTGCGACATTTTGCTAAATTAAATCAATTTAAGCATTGTTTGCAAAAATATATGAAATAATATTACAAATTATAAAGTTGATAATAATGATAGTAGACAGAGAATCATTAGTAGACATGTGATCTAAAATCGATTAATCGAAAAATCGATTCTTTGGAGTAAAATAATCGATTATTTAGATCGATTCGGAGCACTGCATCGATTCACTGAATCGATCCAAAAACCTCTCGAATCGGACTGATTCTTCTGATTCAAGAACTAGCGATAAAATACCCAAACTGGCTGGGGTAATATACCGCAGTTTTTTAATTTTTTGCTGTTGGGGGACGCAATAACAACCGGTCGTACTTGGTTGATGATTTGAACGTAATATATATTTGAATAAAATAAATATTTATGAAAGCATCCAACAATATCGAAAAGTTGTCTTTTATTTACATTTATACAATTCTAACTCTAATCTTACCTGTGGAATGTTGTTCTAACTTAATCTGTGCTGTGAACAAAGACTACCTACGTATACATACTACAATATAATATTATAGCTGTGAACCTGTTTGAACTGTGAACTTGTGAATTCACTTTATTTATTATCAAAAATATACATACTGTGAGCTGTAAGTACAGATAGAGTACTTTTTAAATACCTAGATACTGTAAATAAATATTATATTTTGAAATTTTATAGTAAGGAAATAACCAGTATTCTGTTCGTGTAGCATTCATTTTGATTTGATAAATAGTGAGTTTTTAGATGGAAACAGATTTATCGAGAAATGTACGTTGCAGTTTGCACTTTTGTTAATGTATTGTTGTTGTTTTTAGCCTAAAATAGAAGTGATACATGGAATCACTTTGTAAAAAAGGGATCGAGAGGAGTATGTGCGAACCACACCTAATACAAGCGTTTCAAGCTTACCAGGAGTGGTTCGAAGGAATAATAGTAATGTTAATTAATAAGATTACTAATATATTATTTAAAAAAATATTAAAGTTCAATTAAAGAAAAAGTCGCAAATTCTTGAAATGTGTTTAAAAATGTCGCGATTAATCGAAAATCGATCTTTTAATCCTCGATTTAATCGATAATCGATTCTAGTATTTTCGATTCAAATCGATTCGAGATCGATTTCTTTAAATAGTGAATCGACATACCTAATCATTAGGACTCAGACAAAATAAAAAGTCTTATTTTTTATCTATAATCTGATTAGATATATTTTTTATTAACTGGCTTTACGACTCTGGGTTCTAGCCCTTCTGAGCCTGAAGTTACAATAATTAAAACCTTTTAAAAATCGATATGTCACGTACGAAACATTCATCAAAAATTCACTTGTACACTGATTCACAAATCACAAAGTGCTTATTCACATTTGCACTATTGATCTGCCAAGTCGAGCAAAAAAGCGGCACGGCCGTACCATTCTTTTCTCGAAGCAATTCAGGCCATTTTCGACCCCCTATAACTTCGTAGTGGATATAGTGGATTAGTAACCTAGTAGGCATTGTATAAACATGGTATATTTCAAATTTCATTCAATTTGAACCAGTAGTTTAAGAATTATAGCTAGTCAAAGTTTCTTAATTTTGTCACTCACTGACTGACCGATCATCAAAACTCTAAGGCACTTCTAGCAGACATAGAAGCTTAAAATTTAGAATACAATTATAGTTTAGTGAATAAATTAAAAAAAAAACTAAAATATTTTGTACTTTCGGTCCAGTTTCTAGATATACCAACTGCATAAATAACTTTGTAATCCTATATAAATGGTGTTCTTGTATATGTATGTAGGTGTAGATAGGTACGTTGTTGGTATTCAAGAAGTAGAAGGTACCGGAAAGGAAAAAAAAACTAGGACTATCTTGTCTACAAAAGAAATGAGATCCCATCAAAAACATAACTTAAAACCAAGTCTCGCAACTCCGTTCTTCTACCGTAAAAAGTTGTGAGATCCATGTAATACCAAGTCGGTTAATTTATTCAGTTCCTACTTAAGGGTCCTTCTGTTTTAAGTTATTATGTAATTAGCTAACCATACCATACCAATGTCAAAATTCTTTTATGTTTTAAATATATAGATTGACTTGGCAATCGCATTAAGCAATCTAATTTAATATAATATGTATTACTTGTGAGATACATTGCGTTCTTATGCGAAGGCCAAGTCAATCAATTTTCTATTATTAATCCCTTTTTTGTTGTACCAAGGAGTGGCTGGCGGGCTTTTTTGTATTTCATAATACCAAATTCCTTTGGACTTACTTATTTCTTCCCAGTATGACATACACAAGGATTTCAAGTTCTTGCTAAACAACGCATATATATCTGCAAATGGTTTTTCCAGTATTGAGGAGTGATCTGAACACGACGATGAGGAGACATCTCTAGTAGCAAAGTCTGCTTCCTCGTTTCCAGTTATCCCAGAGTGTGAACATAAAAGTTTTTATTTTTTCTTCTTTATTTTATTAAGCTTGTTTAGTAAGTTTCTTATATTGTATATAATGTAATTTTTCTTGTAATCCATTTTGTTAGTTCCAATAGCTAATATAACACTTTATGAATCAGTTACAATTAGAAACTGTGAATTCGCAATGTTTAAGATAAGTGTCCAGCCAGAATAAGTTAATTATTTTTACCTAATCCCAGGGCTTCTGAAGATAATTTACGATCAAAAGCCCGGATTAAGGTTTTAAAATGTTTCAAGCCTGGTGTGTCAGACCAGCTCTTAAGTGATTTTTGTGATAAATAGAATAGTCAATTGGACTAGGCTTTTTGAGATTCCACAAAATAGCTTGATTCCAAATTAACTATTTTCCTTGTGAGCTCATCGACAAGTTTATTGCCTACAATACCCGCGTGATACAGAACCCATCTTAAGATAACCCTGTTGTTACATTCCAAGGCGTTCAGACGGTTCACGCAGTCTCCAACTAGCTTCAAGTCCACTGAGTTTGATCTCAGCTCTAGCAGTGCTGCTTGACTATCAGAGTTTATATAGATTATATGAATGACGTAGTGTTTTTTTGCAGATTGATTTCCGCACACCGAAATATGACGAAAATTTCTGCTTGGAAAATAGAGATGAATCTACCCTAATTCATACTAAGTTTCAATTTGAGGCATTCCCAATAAATGTCAAAGCCTACTTCGAGGTCCATTTTTGACCCATCGGTGTACCATATATGGCTATCGACCTCACAGACAACCTGCTCATTCAGCTAGTCTTCTCTGGAGTGTAGTTTCATTATATACTTTACTACTGTATAATGCTTATTTTAAGAAAAGAGTGTTATTGTATTTTTAAGGACAACGAAATAAGCCTCTGCTATGATCACCACACGCAAAATCTTCCTTTGAGTTTTCATTTGTAATGATATTGTTTGTCTAGCTCAGCCTTTTACTCCTTGTAGTTTAAAACAACTGCAGGTTGGAATGAGATGTACGAGTAGATATAAAGTATATACAAAATTTTCGCTACAGGCAGAATATTAACCCGCATTTATTTTAGCTCACACTACAAGATACTCTGCCAATAAGCTACTTTTGGGTTACAAGTTACTTTTGGGTGAAGTTTCTGACTCGATTCTTATAGCATTGCAAGCACAATTTAGTGCAAGTAAAGTAATACAGAACTTATAAGGGAAATATGGGGACAGAAAATATACGTCGCTGCGCCTGCCGAATTCCATACGTGAATTTTTAATTTTTTGTTTTTTGCACTGAACATAATATCTATTTCGTTCTCTATGCGTTGATAAAATTCTTTTAGTAATATTCGAACTAGAAACGATTCTAACAAGTTACAGCCTATATACACGTCCCACTGCTGGGCACAGGCCTCCTCTCACTTCTGAGAGAGTTTTAGGGCAAGGAATAGTCCGCCGCGCTGCCCCAATGCGTGTTGGCGAATTTCACATGTCTTCGAAATATTATTTTTCTTATTCCTCAGACATGCAGGTTTCCTCACGATGTTTTCCTTCACCGCCGAGCACGTGGTAAATCAGCACTTAAAATTGCAATTAACAATTTCATTGGTGCCACGAGCTAAATATTAACCAGACTGCGATGTTTTGCTTTAACTTTCACACGTTTCGTAGCAACCGCGGCTGTATGCAACTTTTCAATATAGTTGCGTCATTCATTACACTGTTATGACATAGAAGGTATCTAAGTGTGTGTGTGTGTGTGTGAAATTTTACACGTATTATTTTAATTGTTATGTGTGAGTTTCATAGTGAGAGACCATGACACATGAATATTTTTGCGTGGGAGTTTGTGAAGTGTGCGTGGCGCAGATTTCCTTCGCAAAAAATAAAAGACAGTTTGTTATCGGAAAATATCGCTATGGCTGCTCCCCTCCAGTGATGCTCTATGGATTTTTAAGTCATCGGCAAAAAGCATAGAGTAAAAGTACTTCCATATATCCTTTATACTTTGATCTTTAGGAAATCTGCAATAAATAAATAAAAAATATGGTCGAAGTTCACACTTACTAGAGTTTAGGAATTCTATTATGAAAGAAAAGTTAGCAGTTTAACTACTTAGCAAAAGTGTAGCAGTGGCATTAAAATTTTGGCGCAAAATCTTGAAATTGGACGTTTTTAGGAATAGTAAGGGCACAGAAAATTTAATCATATTGAAGTAGCCTGTTATACTTGTATATAAAAAATAAATAAAGTTGCAGCCTATACATATATACGTCCTGCTGCTGGGCACAGACTTCCTCTCATCTCTGAGAGGGTTTTAGGGCATGGGAATATCCGTCGCGCTACCCCAATGCGCAATGGCAAACTTCACAAATTTTAAATAATTTTTTTTCTTATTTTGCAGACATGCAGGTTTCCTCACGATAGTTTCCTTCAACGCCAAGCACGTGGTAAATCAGCACTTAAAATTACAATTAACAATTTCGTTGGTGCCGGCGGAGATCGAACCTGGGTTGCTCGCGTACCAACCCCGATTGCGTTTTAACGCAATCGTTTTCTTTTCATTTGCTGTTTTCACCTATGGACCTGTTTTGTTATTTATTGAAGCTTTTACATGCATAAACATAAACACTCACGAATGTCACCCAGGGGGGTAGGCAGAGACTACAGACTTCCATTTGACACGATCCTGGCAGACCTCTCTCGCCTCCTTCACATCCATATACCTACGCATACATGCTCGTCAGTTAAGGGTACTCCTAATTTGGCCCGTTTTCAATAAATCGCTAATTTGGTCGATAAATTTTCGCATTAGATGTCCCTTTCCGACTCTGCCGTTCACTTACGCAACATAAATTTTCTTTGTCACTCTTTCCTCACTCATTTTTTCCACATGACCAAACCACTGAAACAATTAATATAATAAATTAAACTCATGAAATTTCTTTCTTAATCCTGGTCACAACATCGTCTTGTAAACCACACTCTTCTCTTATCACACAATTTCTCACCTCGTCATTCAAATTCAGCCCTAACATACTCCTTAACGACCGCATTTCTACTGCGTTTATTCTACTGTCGTGCTTCTTCTGCCACACCCTACTAACTATTTTGAAGCTTTTAGTTTTTTATATTATTAATATAGTAATAAAGGATGACTTAAAATATAATAAAAAAAAAACATAATACAACTTCATTCTTTTTTGGCTAAAATTAAAACAAGAAAATTAACGCAAAATGTTTATTGCGATATTTAAACAGGATTAAACTACTTTAAAGATTGCTTTAGAGATAGCGCCAGCCTTGAGATCGTTCAGAGCCTCCTGGTACTGAGACAGCTTGAAGGTTTTCACGCCGAGCTTGTCGTAGTCAAGATATCTGCAACATAAAATACCAATGTCAATCTCAACGACATGTTGATTCAAACAAGGATTCCTTTTTTACCTTCACTTTCATAGTTCAACGGTATGGCAAACCGAAACTACCGGAAAGAGATCAGGCGCAGTAATCACGGCTTTATGTGCCTCTTCTAGGCTCGGAAACACAGTCAAAAGACGGTAGATGACCGGAATAAGGTCAGCTTTCATAACCACTGCTATTTTAATTCATGTAGTCGTAAGATAATGTTTTAATTTATTTTCAGGTGTGTTTCTCGGACGAATCAACATTTATTATTCTAGCCAACAAGAGCAGCTTTGTCCGACGACGCGCGTGTGAAAAGCTCTATAAAATAACGGTGTGGTCTATCATAAGCGCTAAGGGGTTTGGATGTCTCCACATTGTCCAGAGACGTTACCAAGTTCCTGGTAGACCACATATTTCAGTTTTAACTTGACCTGGCAATTATCCTGATTGTGGCACAATAAATAATAACCACCAAGGTCTGGCTGATTGAAAAGCTGATTAAAACGCATAATTCGGGCGCGTAGGAACACTAACTGAGACGAAAAGAAATGTCACTAAGAAATCATCAGTACAAAGTAATATTTACTAACGCCTATTTAAATACCTTTGTAATTTATTATTTGTTGTTTTTTTTTGTTTTTTTGTCTTGTTTTGCATGGGAAATAGCTATTTTATATAATTATATCTATTATTCATTAAGAACTGTGTATTTCTAATTAAGACAAATATTTCACACAAACCGAATTTCGTGACTATCCCTAATAATTTGGCAACCTACTGTATACTTTTTTTATAGGATATGGTGACAAACTAGCACACAGTTCACTTGATGGTAAATGGTTGCTAAGGCCCATAGACATCTACATCTATCCTCGATTACAAATCAAAATGCAGATGCGTTGTCACCAGTGAGGACTAAGATGGAATGCCTCGTTTCCAGTAAAAAGGGTATCCGGTTCTCTACACTCACCATACGAAACACAGCAGCATTAAGCTACTATTTTATGCTGGTATTCTGTAAAAGCGTGGTCCTTCCCCGGTCGAGCCGACCCATTCGAGCTACAACTATACTACTAATATAACTGCAGCATGGCTCTACCACGTACAAAAATCAACTTTATTATAAAATTTAAAATTACCTGCTGCCCATGGCTTTAAGCCAGCCGATGGCTTTCGGAAAGCTAAAGGGGTTGATCTTTACGCCGATTATCGTCAATTCCTTGTCGTAAATTTGGAAGGGATTCACTCTGTTAAAAATAAACACAATATTATATTACAAAAGAAAAGATTGCATCAAATAAACAACCAACCTTTGCAAAGTGCCCAATAAAGATGGAAAAAGTCATGAGGAATGCTTCCTGATTCTCGCTCGAGCCTGGCCTACTCCGATGAAATTGTTAATTGAAATTTTAAGTATTGTTTTGCCGAGTACTCGGCGGTGTGGCGAAGGAAATCATCGTGAGGAAACCTACATTTCTAAGAAATTAAAAAATATAAGACAATATCTGAAACACTTGACTGGACTGGACATCCTGCATGTCTTACTTGCATCTAGAAGGGGCAATCTACACTTCGCTTATCAACGAAGCAGTCACTCTATAAATGACCTCCCCTTTGCAATTTAAGCTTACTGATCCCTTGTCTACAAGGTTTTCTCTGGTTATACTACGAATACAAAATTTACGGGTAATACGCTTGTATCACTGTTATGCTTTGTTGATAGCTTTAAAAGTATTGAGCAGTCGTTTTTATAATTAGTCGTAAAATCGGCCAGGAGAAAATCATTATCACTTACAAACTTTTTCATCAGTTCATAAAATTCACGGAATTCGGTCATTGTCATGGACCATGAGGTCCTATCCTGTTGAGCCCGACGTTTGGCACCATTAATACTGCTGCTTATCGCTGGTCTGAGTAATTCACGTCTGACAATGGTTGTACCATGATGATACCGTAAGCCATATAAAAGATTTTTTGGCATTTCCCACACTCGACTCTTACGACAACCACGGTAATAAATAAAAAAAAACATAATTATTTCATAATGTTCTCCAGACCAAGTTTCGGTAACGGCGACTAGTCTCAAAACAAAGACTAGACATCTGCCGACGGGATTATAGTGCCCGAGTGTATCCGCAAGCACAGGTGCACTCCATTTTTTCCTCACTCTCATAGTCCAATGGATCTGTTATTCAACACGATCAGAAAGAGATCAGGCGCAGGACCAATGGCTTTATGTGCTTTCCGAGACACGGGATGAAATAACGCCAACTTCTAGACTCCAGATTGCTACTGAGAATTTCTTGACGGAAAAACTCAATAACTTGAATATTTTAGCGCGATTGGGTATTCGTATTCGAACCCGGGAACTCATGATCTCTAGATGAACGATGCAGTCGAGAGTAAAAAATTAATATAGAAACAACACATTATTCTAATAGATTGAATAAAGTTTCTAAAAAAATTTTATACTTACGTAGCTGTGTGCGTGGGTGGGCAGCATCCGAACAGCACATATTTCCCACCGTGTCTCAAATAGTTAAAACTTGTTTCCATCACTTTGCCAACTCCTGGAATTATAGGAAGTGAAAATAATTACATTATAATAAATGCTTAGAGTGGATGTTTTCACATATATATCTATACTAAAATTATAAAGAGAAAATATTTTTGTTTGTTTGTACCGAATAAGCTCCGAAACTACTTTTTTTTAAAGAATAAGGGTGACAAACTAGCCCACAGTCCACCTGATGGTAAGCGGATGCTCTGATGCTCGATTAAGAATCAAAACGCACATGCGTTATCACCCCTGAGGACTAAGATGAAATGGCTCAACTGGAGCAATTTTAACCATTTTTTTCCTTCACCATTTATATTTAGCTTTTATTTTACCAATAGAAAGCTAAATTATCAGAAAGTAACGTAGGCTTTAATTTAATTTCCAAAAAATTAGAGATACTTAAGAAAATTGCAATAATGTAACCCATAAGTAGAAATTGTTGTTATAAAATTCATTATTTGACATGCGCTGAGAAAACTATTGAACACACATAAAAATTATGTACTACAAGATATAAGTACTCATTACTACTTACAAAAAGTCTGCGAGGGATTATATCTATCATAGTTAAGTCACAAAGTAGTTTAGCAAAGCAAGTAGTGTTATAAAATTTAATTAGAACGCTGGTAGAAACGAAAGTTGGTGACATTTGTAAAGTAGTACTATTTCTTATTCAAATAAATAGTTTTATCATAAAAAGTATTTACGTAGCAATAAATAATAAGCTTTTTAATTCATTCGAATCGGACATTTAATTTCGAAGTTATCACGAGTGTAAAAATGCAACACGCTAACCGTTCCGACGCCGCCGCGACGTTCCCTAATCTATAGAGTATTTTGACGGGGCTTTCACTAGCAGATAGCTGGTGTTATAAGAAGTAACTTAGGCAACTTTTATTTAAAAAAACAATAAGGGTTTCGCACAAAAATTTTAAACTCATGTAATCCAATCGTCATAAATTATTACACGCGGGTGACCGGATTATTTCAGACCGGAACACTGCAGTGAAGGGCAGCCGCTTGGTGGCAGGAAAACGTGACAGTCGGTAGCTACTAAGATGGACTAAGATGGATATCCTTTACAGATAATGATTCCTAACACCTAGGAACAACACTTTCTGAGAAAAATAAAATTAGAAATTTCGTTCGTACCATTCTTACAAATAACATTTAAACGTATATTTTAAATGTTTCAGGTAGCTCTACTCTTGAAACATACACGATGTAAGCATTTGTGAAGTGAAACTTTCTTTAGAATCGTTGTGATTTGAAACTCTATGAAATGAAAAGGCGACACTAAAAAGAGACAAACATATACATCTATAGGTTTTAGCTTGCGATAGAATGAGATAGAATACAGTATATAGTGTTTTGAAGTGAAAACTTCTTTAGAACCGTTGTGATCTGTAACTCGATGAAACGAAAAAGCGACACTAAAAAGAGACAAATATATACATCTATAGGATTTAGCCCGCGAGAGAATGAGATAGAATACAGTATACAGTGTCTACTATTATGTATGAAGATTATGATATAAGTGATCTATGAGCAGTAGGAATTAAAGAGACATATGTGGATTAGAAAATATTTAAGTACTTACGTTAATGAAATTGTAAACTTGGAGTATGTATCAATATGTAAAAAACTTGGTAAGGATATTATAATAAATAAACTCTATAATTTTTCTACTCCTGATACTCTGAGTTCGTCTCAATCTTTCGAAGTTTAGTTGATGAAGGTTTCACTTCTACCGCGTGTCAACTACATACTTGTTTCTCTTTCGGTTTTTGGTATCGAAAGGGTTATCAACTATATTTAATGCTTTTATGCGACAAAAATTAAAGAATAGGTACCTAGTTATGTTTCTAGATAATAAGAGAGCCCTATCATATGTAAAAGAACATAGTTACCGGTGCAATCGATTATGACGTCATATAATTGTTTTTCCTTCTCTAATACATCAGGTGTTATAAGCCTGAAGCCGGTATCTGAAAAATGAAGTTCCTTGATATATTTTAAGTTTAAAACATGCAAGTTTTTTTGATGGAGGATGTAGGTAGAGGACAAAATACATGTAAATCGGATACCAGCTAATGAATACGTAAAGTCGAAGATACTAGATAATAATGAGCAGAATATCTGACTATTAAGTCTCAAATTCATTCATTCGTTACAGTCTCAGGTCCACTGCTGAACTTAGGATTTCCTCATACATTGCCTGATAGGAGCTATATTCGCCATAGTTCTCTATATTCGCTCACTTGGCTGACAGTTTGGCAATCGCAGCTTGTTGTCAGGAAAACGTTGCTGTTCCTGTTTGATTCCCCTCTGTCACCTCTTACGACACATGAGCTAGTGGATATGAAAGGTCTGACTATTAAGTCACCCATCCCGGTTTCGAATCCTAGCCTAGCTTTATCATTACCATCAAAAGTGAATGGTAATTCACAAGTCCACTGCTGAACGTAGGTCAACAAATACAAGAGTCTGATCAAATGTCTTTCGTTCGTGCAACAAGTATACACCATTTTCGGTTTTTACTAAAATTACAAACAAACTAATGAGCTACCACCACTAACAGTGACCGCTCACTACACTGTCTGTCTGAAAACGTCGGGATTGAAAATATGTTAAACGAAATATGTTTCATTAAACACGACATAAACCGTATACTAGTTTATTAGTTTTATTCAATGAGTAGTGTATAAGAAAAGAATGCAACAACATCTGAAAACTGTTTATTTCGGGATTTTTCTCTTTCACTCAAAATAGTGGACAGAACAACCACACGCTGGCTAGGTTGACAGAAAAGAGAGAAAAAAGTTGCCAGAGTAAACCAATACAAAAAGTTACACTTTAATGTTGCCATACAAAATATTAATATATTAATAAATTATTAGATTATTTTACATTTTTAGTTTGTAATGAACAAGTAGTATTCGTAGTATTCGCGATAAATCTTTATAAAATAATTATTGCTGTTACTCACCTAGTTTCTTGACAATTTCCAGCCTGGCTTTGTTCATCTCGGAAACTGTTACTTCTCTATGCCCTTGATGATGTAGTATTGTAACCCAAAGGTTTCCTGAAAGAAAAATATGCTCTTTATTTTTCACATCAGCTCGTAATTGTCTACTGCTCTACTTAGGCTCCTTCTATCGTAGAAAGGATAGCTACGCCAGGCGGACTTGAGAAATCAGACCTAGATGTCTTGCATTTTAATGTGGTTTCTCTTTGCCGATCTGGATCCCAATAGTATCATTCAAGATGGTGATCGTATCATGTTATCTGATTTAATAATGCAGCTGTATTTTGACGGATACTGACGACAGATATATGACACATAGCCGGGATGGATGCATGTAATGTTCAAGGGGGACTGAGAGATCGGTTCTAACCATTCCCGTAGTAACCTCTAACGTCACCCACGGGTATTGATTGGGTGATAGATTCTTGGTGACGTAACAGGCATAACATGGTATAAACTATAGGTTATAATCGAAATTTCATCATCATTTTTTATTCCAATATTTTCTTCACTTTCTTAATTTTTATATAGAAATATTGAATAAAGCTATTAATACGGATTTTATCGCGCTTAATTAACTTATTTTTAATTGCCGACGTTTCGGGTGCTGTAAAGCACGTTACGGGGGGAACTGAGATGTTTGACGTCCCAATGTCATAGTTAGCCACGGCTACCTTCAGTTTTTTAATACGTATTTTTGGTCCAATCTACACAGAACGAGCTTACATTATCTTAAATTCTAGCAGTGGGATGCTTGGGTTTGGATGAAATTTTGTTAATTATAGGATCCTAATTAGATGTCAGCACCTATCCATCTTCTCTAGTGAAATTAGGATGTTTTGCCACGCCTTACGCGCAAAGTGCCTAGGTATGTTATACTAGCGCCTAAAAATCGAGAATCCGACGTTTTGCCGCATGAACTCGTATCCAACAATCATATTTAACATATAAATGATATAAAATCACACTGTCAGAAAGATAAATGATTGTTGAATTTTTTTTTAAATCGATTAATTGATATTTTTACATAAAAATAGTTGTTTTAGTAGCTCATTATTTAGATTTATCAAGTCAGCTTGGAGGGGTAATAACGATGACATATGAAAATATGAAATGTTTAACTCAATCTATTTTTTAATCTCGTCAGATATCATTTGGGAAGCCATGGAATGTAAATGGAAGTTTAATATTTTTTGTTTAGTTATAACTATTTTTGTCGGCTCAAAAAATCCGGAAATTTTCGGTGTTTCGAGCAGCCTTGTTATAATATAGTATTTTTCTAAATACACTTTGACTAATTCCAGGCTCGGTCGCCGTCGCAAGTGGATTACTGTATCGTTTGTTTACAGCGGTTCGTGATGAAAAATATCGATCACTGTAGAAATACAAAATATTCCAAAAACCAGTGGTGAATTAGCCTTAGAGCAAACTAGGCACGTGCCCAGGGGCACATGGTTAATAAAGTGCGCGCGCGGAAGTTTTTAATAAAAAAAAGAATCGAACTACGAAGGTAAGGTTATAAGTGGAAACATGTGTTTATTTAAAATATTTTAAAAATTGACGTAAAAATGAGCTTTTAAAGCATGTAGGTACATTTGGATTTACCAAAAGTTAGTTTATTTTTTTGTTTGTCTAACAAAAAGATCCATAAAAACCCGCGTGTAAGAATATACAGCTGACGTGAAGCATCGACGATTCGGGAAGTTTGAGCTTGCCTCTTTCTTATAAGTTGATTTCAATGGCTCAATGCTTTTGCTAGAAAATTGCTTGACAGAAAAAAACAAATAAACTAACACGGGCTTGTACGTATTTATAACCATCATCATTATCATTACCATCATCATCTTTCACAAGTGCACTGCTGAACATAAAATTCTCATAAAGAAAACACGTTCCTTAGGAATGGCCCATGGCCTTTCTGAATGTATTACCAGTCACCACTCCATGTAGTGACAAGATAACCTGTACTTCGCTATCGGGTACGACGTTTCTACTCTCGTTGCTTTATCCTCATTGATTCGTCCAAAATAAATATAGTAGACTCACCTATAATACCAGCACCAACTATGAGAATTTTGCTACCAATTGACAGCGGCGAGGCACGGTCAAAACCATGGGAGATACAAGAGTAAGGCTCGCAGAGACCAGCTGGAAGAAGATATTATTTTAAACAGACATCTTAAAATATACCTATATATTATAAAAAGTCTAAGTAAAATAATTTCATCCACATAAATACATAAACTTTAACGTCGGAAAGCACCATGGACTGGGCACAGTATATACGTGGTACAGCCACAAAACAGCTATATTATGGTTGGAACACTAATGGGTTGGCTCCATCGATTTAGAACCACGCTATCACAGAATACTAGCAGCTTAGTGCGCTATTTTGTATTGTGAGTGTAGAGAACCGGAGACTCCTTTTCCTGGAGACGTGGCATTCCATCTTATCTCTTAAGAGTTACAATGGATCTGTATTTCGAGTCTTAATCTAGCATTCCCGTCGCGTAAACTGTGTGCTATATTCATGCAATATAAAATAAGAATATACATTAAACTTTCATAATCCTGATGAATATAATATTTAATTACCTATTCAAAAAATGGGAAAAATAAACTTAGTCACAGTCTATATATAATATATAGTAAAATATAATATCATAAATCATCAGTTTTATACGTGATACAGCCATGCTGCAGTTATATTAGTAGTGTAGTTGTAGCACGAATGGGTCGGCTCGACCGGGGAAGGACCACGCTCTCACAGACTAAAAGCGTAAAATAGTAGCTAAATGCTGCTGTGTTTCGTATGGTGAGTGTAGAGAAACGGAGCCCTTTTTACTGGAAACGAGGCATTCCATCTTAGTCCTCACGGGTGACAACGCATCTGCATTTTGATTTGTAATCGGGGATATATGTAGATGTCTATGGGCCGCAGCAACCACTTAGCATCAGGTGGACTTTGTGCTCGTTTGTGACCATATATTATAAAAAATAGCACGCTAGAAGCTTTATTTGAACAAACCCTGTTCTGTAGTGATTTCATCGGGTAAAGCGTACACTTGGTCTTGTGGCACCAGCACGTATTGTGCCCAGCCTCCATCACGCCAGATGCCGACGTTGCGTTTAATCCCAGTCGAGCAATACTGGTAATTGCCGTCGCGACAAAATTCGCAAATACTGCATGCCCTGCCATCAGAAAAGAATATTTAAAAAAATTATAAAAGTAGGTTTGACAAATTATCGCATAATCCACCTATGCACTCAAAGCAATCGTTTGTAAGCCATATAATTTTTTTATTACAGGATTCATGCCCGTGGCCCTACCGAGTCTGTCGATATACCACAGTTTAAAAAGTTATACAGTTGTCCGAGAATGATTTTTTATAGCATAACGATAAAAACGAGCACACAGTCCACCTGATGGTAAGTGCCTATAGACATCTATCTACATCTATCTTTGATTACGAATCCAAATGCAGATGCGTTGTAATCCGTGAGGACTACGATGGAATGCCTCGTTTCCAGTAAAAATGTTCACCAATTCTCTACACTCACCATACAAAACACAGCAGCATTAAGCTACTATTTGACGCTGGTATTCTGTGAGTGCGTAGTCCTTCCCCGGTCGAGCCGACCCATTCGTGCTACAACTATACTACTAATATAGCTGCAACATGGCTCTACCACGTAAAAATGTTTAACTTGTAATGTTATATTGTAGTTAATATATAATATTTTATTCTAAGTTGAAAATATATACAGAAATATTATTCGTCTTACCGGTTAGGATCAACAACCACTTTCTGGCCTTTGGGGGGGTGTGTTTTTTTTTGTTTTTTTTTTTCCTCTCAGCTTGGGCTAAGGCTTGTGTTGTTGTGATTTATTTTATTATTATTATTATTATATTATTACTTGAAGATCGACGCTTTTCCCACGTCGTGGACAGTTCCACTGAACTCATGACCTAAGAGCAAAGGTCTTTGTTTGGATGCTGGGAACTCGCCCTGTGAAAAATTCAATTGAATTAAAATAGCAAAATTATTATAACGATCACGTGACGGTATCTTAGCACTGCGAAAACCTTTATTATATTTTCTAAAGTTGCTTAATATGTACGAGAGGGACATATTATTATAAATAAATATTATATATTAAATTGCGACATTAAAAAAACACTACATTTTCTTTCTATTTACTAATATACCAAACATTTGGCGTCAGATACAGAATGGTATTTCAAACAGCAAAAATCCTTCACATTCTAGGGGTTTTCAAGCTCATATTTTAGGAGCAGAGAAGAGATCGCCTCATTACCCTCTACAAATATCTTCGGTTTCTTCATGAGTATTTATCCACTGCTGAGAATGAACTACGAGGTAAAAGAGCATTTATAATTGCAATCACCAATTTCAAGATAATTGATAGAATCAGGCGTTACTTTGCGGAAATCCATTATAAAAAAAAAAATTACTTCGCAACCAACAACTTTAAAAAGCGCAACTTTAAAAAGCGACAGTAGCCTAATGGCAGGGCGCGGACCGCGAACTCAAAAGGTCGTGAGTTCGAATCTGCCATTCGACTACTGGCGTGAACCACTCGTAACACAAGCTATTTAAGCTTACCACGAGTGGTTAAGGGGAATATTAGTATTGTGTATAGCATTTTTAATATTCTTTTTTTTAAAACCTTCCGCTAACTAACTAAATACAATGATGTGTCTTACCTGGATTGAAGAGCACCTCCCGCCCTCCCTCAATTGCATGCACTAACTCCGTCGCCACTAGTCCCAGCACCACTACTCCCGGCACCACTAAGTCCAATACCACTATTCGAGGTAAGACACACCATCGACGACAATACGACACGTGTTTCGCCTCTACACGAGGCGTCCTCATGTGATGTAGACTCTACGGCGACTGACCGCTAAGCTTAGCGATCTTAGCGGTACACATCATTGTATTTAGTTAGTTAGCGGAAGGTTGCGAAGTAATTAATTTTTTAGTATCACCAATTTCATTGACGCTGCCAGAAATCGAACTCAGATCGCTTGCATACTATAAACTTGCCACCTGTACTACCCCGACTTTGTCTCACACCCATAACTAATCATATGTAGGTATTACTTATTTATTAATTGACTAGAACACAAATTTTGCTTTTATTAATTAATTAATTTTAGGACAATTTTTGAGAGATACTAATTCGTAAAATTCTTCTTCTTATCAGCAGTCCAATTAGACAGGTACACTCTCTTGCTTATTTCTCCTACTAACTAGCAGAGCATGCAGCACTGTCATGTTCTACTTCAAAGAGTTTTAAGAGCCAGTATATTTACAGGCTGTAAGGATTGATGATTGACGGTCCATCACTGTGCGACTTAGAAGAAGTTTTTTTCCTCGCACAACTTCCTTGTGGAATCAACTAACACCAGAGATTTTAGTAAATCGAAACGACTTAAGGACCTGTAAGAAAAGAGCCTACCCTTCTTGAAAAGGTCGGTAACTCATATGGATTTCTCCTGGTGTTGTAATTGTTAATGGGTGGTGGTAGTCACTATCAGGTGAGCAATATACTCGTTTACCCACTCTTCTGTAAAAAAGAAGGAATTTCATGACATCAGAGGTGACAACCTATCTATAGCCTTATTTGTTTGAAGTCGGCTGCAGGAGTTCATGGACTGCAGAAGCTGCTCACCATCAGATGAACTGTAAGTTTGTCTGTCACTTTAGTTTTATAATAAAAATCTGGAGTGGCATTGAGCCGGCCATGCTCAAAAAACCAAGTAGTAGTCTCGAGTGACATTTTCGTACTGCTCAGAGTAGAGTAGCGTAAGCTCAGAGGTGACAACGCATCTGCTATTGCCTCTTACTTTGCAGTTGATTTCAATGGGTAATGCAATAACCACTTAACATTAGATGAACTGTTCGTTCGTTTCGATCCACCGTTACAGCGTCTAAAAGTCAACTACTGAACATAGGCCTCTCCTATAGATTGCCTTACAGAGGGGATTTTACCACAGTTGCTTTTCTGTGTTGATGCTGTTGCTCATCTTCCTGTTTCAGTTTCCCTTTGTCACCTCTCAGGTCTACCCACTAGACGATTGGGGTAGTGGATATTCTTACACTGCCACTACCCGGTATTCCATTTTTTATAGAAGAGGGGGCAAATGAACATACGGTTCATCTGATGTTAAGTAACTACTGCCGCCCATGAACATCCGCAACACCAGGGGAATTGCAGGTGCGTTTGCAGGCCCTTTAGAAAGGAGTAAGCTCTTTTCTTGAAGGGTCCCAGGTCGTATCGGTCCGGAAAATTCGCCGGTGGTAAACTATTCCACAGAGAGGTCGTACGCGAAAAAAAAACTCCTAGTGAAAAGTACAGTGGTGGACCGCCAAGCATCCAGATGGTGTGGATGGTATCGGAAGGTTTGCCGCGTAGTAAAAAAGTAAAGTAAAGTTATAGCCTACATACGTCCCACTGCTAGGCACAGGCCTCCCCCTCATTTCTGAGTGGGTTTTAGGGCAAGGAAGTGTCCGCCGCGCTGCCCCAATGCGTGTTGGCGAACTTTACATGTCTTCGAAATATTTTTTTCTTATTCCTCAGACATGCAGGTTTCCTCACGATATTTTCCTTCACCGCCGAGCACATGGTAAATCAGCACTTAAAGTTTCAATTAACAATTTCATCGGTGCCGGCGGGGTTCGAACCCAGGCTACTCGCGTATTGTGATAATTACAGCGAGCGTTAACCATCTGAGCTACCACGGCTCTATGGCGCGTAGTGCATTCATGAAATTTGGCGGCAGGGATTAATCCGAACAACTCCCCGTGATAGACGTGATAAAGTACGCAAAGAGATGCAACATCTACGTCGCAGTGCCAGTGAATCGAGCCGATCGGAAAGCACTCGGTCGTCGACGATTCGAGCCGCTCTGCGCTGGATGTGGTCAAGTGGAAGGAGCTGACACTGGCACTTCCATGCCTTTCATTTATCACTTTCAATTATTTTTAAAATATACAAGTGAGCCACTAACCAAGAAAATAGACTAAAAGACTCATATCATTACCTGGATAATGTGAAGATCTGTACCGCAGACGCCAGAGTATTCCACTTTCACGATAACGTCATCATCTTTCAAGATCTTTGGCATGGGATACTCTGGATCATATTTTAGTGTGAGGGTTTTCCCATCGAATACCACCGCCTCCATGGTTGTTTGCCTTACTGAAAAAGACATAAAACAGTTCAATAATGTTCAAAACTTTAGTGACGATATTTTTTTACTGTTATATTTTTTGCTGTTTTACACTTCTGCTCTGTGAGAGTGTGGTAGGACCCCGATCGAGCTGGCCCATGTGTGCTACAACTATAAAATAGCTGCAGAGTGGCTCTGTCACGTACATAATACTTTTTTACCGAGTCGAATGCCTTTTTGTGATCTATCCAGGCGACGGAGAAGTTCCGACGGTTGCGTTTTACCACTTTGCCAATGACATATTTTTATTATTATTAAAAATGCAAGAGTTTTGCATCAAGGACATATAAATAAATATTTAATTACAAAATCTTCATAAATAATTATATAATACTTGCAAAAAATTACAACGAATTGTGTATGAACTTAAATTTTCCTTCTTAGCTTTCCCATATAATGGTATTAGCAAAATACTTGAATAGTTTACATTTAACATGTTATAATTATTCAAGGATCCGGTTGAAATATTTGGCACCTAATGCCATGGTATTTTCAAGACCTATCACCTTGATTTATTCAGAAAAACGTACAAAAGTTAAGGCGTTTTCGATTGAAAATATAATCCTTGACATAGTTTAATTCGAATTAGTACTCACACAGTACAAAATTAACCAAAAAAAATCACTATTTAAAAAAACATGGCACTCACGTGCATAAGGTCAAAAATGTATGAAGTGTGGATTTGGACCAGTTTCTGGCGCAAAACTAACCAATTATTAAAAACATATACATATTACTTTAGACTTTTGACGATATGACTACGAAACGTTATATTATCAGTTCAAGAAGAGATCTTGCAGCGAAAACGAGTAAATCGTGGTACCTGTGGTACATGTTCGTAAAAATGATACTTCGCCGGTTTTAACTATTACTAAAGAGGCTGATTTAAACAAAATAGCTTAATCTATTGTTTATTAATGGCTCTTTACATTACTTCTTTTAATTTTATTAACAATTCTTACCTCTGTATAATTAACTTTTGCTTTTATAGAATTACGAACCTGTTTTTAAAAAGTTACAAAATGCTTGTTACCCCTGCCTTACCTGCTTCGTTGACGCATCGCTATTTGTTAAAATTGCCTCTCTGTTATCAGTTGTTTGCTTCTGTTGACGGTCGCTTAAGTATGCATCATATTTTTCATTCATTAGACGATACAGTTTTATTTTTTCTACCCGTTTGTAAATACTCGTATTATTATACGCTAACTTATTATAGTCTTAGTGAATTTTTAAATATTGGTATATTGTTTTCTAATTTTATTAACGGATTTTAGAAATATGACGGGAGATGTATATTCCTTTATTGTAGCAAAATTATCTTGGTTATTGATAGGCTTAAAAATGGCTATGCTACATTATAATAGTGTACCTGTAGGGTGTGGCAGTGACAATCTAAGAATATATTATCAGAACGCAAGAGGCTTGCGCACTAAAACCGACATATTTTATCGTAATAGTCTTTTATGTGATTATGATATAATATTAATTACGGAGAGATGGCTCCTGGACAGAATTAGTGATACGGAATTATTTGATAATCGATACGTTGTTTGGCGGCGTGATAGGAATTACACAGTTACTGGTCAGAAATACGGTGGTGGTGTTCTGATTGCGACGCGTAAAGATCTAGAAGCTATCCCGCAGCCTTCCTTTCATTCAAGTGCTGAGGACCTATGGTTAACGTTGTCTATTCACCATATTACCCGTAAAAACACAAGAACTTGCATATTTGTATCTTATATTTGTGTAACGAAAATCGGGGTCTCAGTTTTACTGCTCAACTTCAAAATTATTTGCACTCGGTTAGCGAAGTTGTCATGAGTCACTCGGACGATAGCTTTTTATTAGTTGGCGACTTTAATATTAGTGATATTATATGGGTGCCTGACATCGACGCCGCCGACGGTTCATTTTTAGGTACAAATATTCGTTCGGGAAATGAAATTTTATTAATAGAATGAATTAAGCTCGCTGAATTTGAGACAATTTAATGGTATAAAAAATGCCCATGGCAGGATCCTTGACCTTGTTTTTTCTAGCGACGCTGTAACCGTTCGTGATTTAAGTGGGGATTCTCTTATTCCTGTTGATCCTTATCATGGTGCCCTTTTAATATCTTTTGATAACGTTGATTGTGACTCATTAATTATCAATTCTCGCCTTAAGTTCTTATATCATAAAGGTGACTATTATTCATTAAATGGTGAGATTGCCAATATCCAATGGGGTGAAGTTATGTCTCTGTTATCCTTAGATGAATCTGTTCAATACTTTTATAGTACACTCACGTCACTTAGAGACAAATATATCCCCTCAAAATTAATTCTTGCCGACACTTATCCCAAATGGTATACAGCACCACTTAAAAAAGCTATTAAAGAAAAACATAAATTTTTACGTAAATTTAGGATCTATGGCTGTAGGCATGACAATGAAACTTTTAAGCTATTGCGGGAGCGTGTAAGGAAATTAGAAAAGTTAGCACACCAATCTTACATAACCTCTGTGGCAAATTCGATTAGTGCAAATCTGAAACACTTCTGGTCGTATATTAAACAAAAATCAAAATCACATTCAATACCTTGTTGTCTCAAATTTGAAGGTTCTGTAATTAACTCTGGCGAACTTATCTGTAATGCTTTTTCAAACTATTTTCGTTCAAATTTTTTGGTTTCGGGTGATAGTAATACTCAGCTGTCTAAAAATAATTATAATTTTTGATTCTTTAGTGTTGCCTCAGTCGAGTGTAGATATCACCTCAATTGATATAAACGAAAATACACTCAAAAACCTGCTTAAAACGTTGGATCCAACGAAATCTGCTGGTCCCGTTAACATTCCAGCTCACTTTCTTATTAACTGTGCGCATACAATTTGTGTTCCCTTGACTATTTTGTTTAAAAAGTCCCTTAGTACAGGTATTGTTCCTACCATCTGGAAGCGTTTATTTATCACGCCTGTACATAAAAAAGGTTCCAATACCGAAGTTACTAATTATCGACCGATTTCCAAGTTATGTATTGTATCTAAAGTGTTCGAACGAATTATATATAATCAATTATACGCGGCCCTAAAGCATTCATTCAATCCGACTCAACATGGTTTTTTAAGAGGACGCTCTACTGTTTCAAATCTTGCGCTCTTTAATGAATATTTGACTGAGGCAATGGACAATCGCCACCAGGTAGATGTCGTTTACACCGATTAGAGTAAAGTCTTTGACAGAATACATCATATGATTAAAACTACTTTTACGGATTTTATCGCGTTTATTTTTTCTTACTTTTTATTTTTATTTTTAATTCCCGACGTTTCGGGCGCAGTCTGCAGTTTGTGATCATATCCTAGACGGCCCCAACCATTACATCAGATTTGATAGACCACAAATCCTCGCGAAAGAACACCGATTCCTACTAAGGATGATACGTGAGGCTATTGAAATTAAAAAACATCCTAATTTCAATAGAGAAGGAGGCTGGGTACTACCAGCTGCTTGGGATCCTATAATCAATAAAATTAAAACTAAACCCAAGCATACCACTGCAAGACCTCAGGACATAGTCAGTTCATTTTGCATAGATCGGACCATAAACAATAATTAAAAAAAAAAAGCTGAAGGTACTCCGGGTTTAACAATGACATCGGGACGTCAGTCATCTCAGTCCCCCGTGACCATGGGTGCTGGAAAGCGCCCGAAACGTCGGGAATTAAAAATAAAAATAAAAAGTAAGAAAAAATAAACGCGATAAAATCCGTAAAAGTAGTTTTAATCATGTGCAATGTTCGCGTAAATATAAGAAATCAGAATACATCATAATTTGCTATTGCCAAAACTGACCCAGATCGGTATAAACGGCGATCTGCTTCGGTGGTTTACGTCTTATATAAATAATCGATCACAAGCTGTTGTCGTTAGCAACAACATATCAGGATGGGTAACTGTTCCAAGTGGGGTGCCACAGGGGTGAGCTGCTGGGTCCGTTATTATTTGTTATTTTTATTAATGACATTACCTATTACCTGAAGAAAGCTCACTTATTATGTTTTGACGATGATATGAAGCTATTACTGAAAATAACATCAATCGAGGATGCTGAGGCTCTACAAGAAGATTTATCAAATCTAGAGCGTTATTGCCACCTAAACTTCTTAGATTTGAACCCTTCGAAATGTAGCTTTATGTCCTATAGTCGCAAATATAAACCGATTGTCTTTAACTATAAATTGAAAGGTGAAAATCTTAAAAGGGATTCCATTGTTAGAGATCTCGGTGTTCTTCATGATTCCAAATTGATATTTGACGTTCACTTAGAAAGCATTATAACCAAATCTACGAAAGCTCTTGGATTTTTGATGCGTAGCTCTAGGGACTTTACTAAAGCTAAAACTCTAAAGATCCTATATTGTTCTCTTGTAAGAAGTAATTTGGAGTACGCATCTCAAATCTGGAACCCCAGGTATGCAACATATATTACCCGACTTGATAATATCCAAAGTAAGTTTATGCGTTACCTCTGTTATAGAACCAATGACTATAGCTATACCTCAGATAATTATATTAGTTATTATAGAAAACATCACCTTCTTCCTCTTGCTATGCGTCGTGAGATTACTGACCTCACTTTTCTGTTAAAATAGCTTGTAGTGCTATTGACTGTCCTGAGCTTTTATCTCAACTACATGTTAGCTGTCCTGCCAAACCTCTTAGATATAAAAAAATGTTAAGTCTCCCGATTTCATCTACAAATTATAGGCAAAATACATTTATATGGCGAGCGAACAATAATTTCAATAAGCTAGCCAATGAGTTTAACTTCGATTTGTTTAACACTAGTGCTGCGTCAGCTATGGCGCATACTTAACAATGCATTTTTGGTAGCTCTAAGTGAGATATTGATGCGTTGCTACACAACTATGATTTACTTTTGTATTTGTGTTTATTTTTCTCTTAAAAT